TCTATCAGCAAAATTAATCCAACAGAATGGCACACAGCAGACACCACAAGCAGTGAACAACAAAACAGCTGCGTCCAGATATTGAGATATGGAACAAGGCAGAAAATATAATAATTATAAATGACGGCATGTGGCAAGGGAGGGTGCATAAACTTTAAGATACAGAGGAATACAGAGGAAAAGCAAACCACAAGAAAAAAAAAACTTGACAGGGCTGCTTTAATGTTTACACTGATATGAAAAGCCATTGATGTCTTATCTGACCACGCTGCTTCAAAAATTATTCAATCAGCAATACCTCTTTAATGAAACATGGTCTTGAAGTAAGACGCCCACTCCCGACTCACTCACATCTGTTTAATGCCTTTTCATAATAGGAACAAGTGATACCATTTTATCATACAACTGTATTGGTCTAAAACATTTTTTTTACAGTAATTCAGGTTTTAATTAAAGGAACACTCCAAACACCATAACTACTGCAACACTCTCTAGTGGTTATTGTGCCAGAAGTGCAATAGACTTAGCTCAGGGTCAGAAAATAGCGGGGCTTAGCTCAGGCAAGGAGCTTCCAGCTCTCTATTTGATTACAGTGGAAGTGTTGTGTGACACCCATCGCTGTAGTGATTATGGTGCTGGGAGTGACCCTTTAAAGCTAACGGGGAAGACACATGTCACAGGAGCACACCAAAAAGAGTGTTCAAAGGATTATTCTTATAGGAAGCAAGTACCAATTTGCCAAGGATAGGAGCTAATCAGAGCCACATTAAAATACTCAGAAGGAATGAAGGTGAGCTACTGAAAATTAGGCAATATAGCATCAGATGTTTATTCAGTGGCTACCTACTTCTTTAACCCCTTAAGGACACATGACATGGCGTACATACCAGGGTCGCAGGGGTCGCGGCTGCGACCGGGCCCGGCCCACCAGGGGGCCCGGCCACCCCTGCGACCGGGTATGTAGCCACAGGGCCAGCCTCTTCTCCTGGGGGGCCCAGGATGCGGCCACCTCAGGGCCCCCGAGGCTGGCCCTGCTGACCCCGGCGGGCTGGCTGTCTCGGTGGCCGGCGCGCGAGGGAGCACTCAGTGCTTCCTCTTCAGCTCCCTCGCGCACCGCACTGATACCGGAGCCGGAAGATGACGTCATCTTCCGGCGCCGGCATCCCTACGCGGCGCGCGAGGGAGCTGAAGAGGAAGCACTGAGTGCTCCCTCGCGCGCCGGCCACCGAGACAGCCAGCCCGCCCAGCAGCACCACTGGACCCCAGGGAATCCCCCCAGCACTCCGAAAGGTAAGGAGGCTGGGGGATTAAATTTAAAAAAAAAAATGTGTGTGTGTTAGTGTATGTATGTATGTGTGTGTGTGTGTTAGTGTATGTGTGTGTGTTAGTGTATGTATGTGTGTGTGTTAGTGTATGTATGTATGTGTGTGTGTTAGTGTATGTGTGTGTGTGTGTGTTAGTGTATGTATGTATGTGTGTGTGTGTGTGTTAGTGTATGTATGTATGTGTGTGTGTTTTAGTGTTTGTGTTAGTGTGTGTGTCAGTGAGTGTGTCTGTTATTGGGTGTGTGTCTGCTAGTGAGTGTGTTACTGTGTGTGTCTGTTACTGAGTGTGTTTGATGTCTGTTAGTGAGTGTGTGTTTGTCAGTGAAAGTGTATGTTTTGTAAGTGAGTGTGTATGTATGTCTGTCGCTGAGTGTCTCTGTCAGTAAATGTGTGTGTCTGTTAGCTAGTGTGTATGCGTCTGTTCGTGAGAGTGTGTGTGTGTGTCTTCAGCATTTACCTTTCTCCAGCGCCGGACTCCCTTGGCGCTGGGGATCCCTCCTCGCCTCAGCTCGAATGCACATGCTGCTGCAAGAGGCGACAAGATTTAAAACCGCCCATAGGAAAGCATTACTCAATGCTTTCCTATGGACGTTCAGTGTCTTCTCACTGTGATTTTCACAGTGAGAATCGCGGAAGCTCCTCTAGCAGCTGTCAATGAGACAGCCACCAGAGGCTGGATTAACCCTCAGTGAAACATAGCCGTTTCTCTGAAACGGCTATGTTTTCAGCTGCAGGGTTAAAACTAGAGGGACCTGGCACCCAGACCACTTCATTGAGCTGATGTGATCAGGGTGTCTGTAGTGGTCCTTTAAGTGTGTGTGCATACCGCGGTCGCGGGGTCGCAGCCCTGCAACCCCTGCGACCAGGTGCCCGCCGCCATGTGTTGCGGCCCCGACCCGCGCCGAGTAAGCGCGGGGGGGCCCACGGATCAATTTTCGCACAGGGGCCCCATGGATCATGTGTACGCCACTGCATGATTCCCTTTTATTCCAGAAGTCTGGTCCTTAAGGGGTTAAAGCAGATACAGATAGCCTTGGCAATGGCAACAACCCAGCTACTTACCAAAATGTGAGTTGTTTGGATTTATGAAGGGAACCGAAAATTTAAGATCAAACTAGCTGAATTATTTTTGTTTTTTTCTGTTCCCAGGTGATTTCTCAACCTTGTGTCAGTGCTTTGTGAATAACGAGAGTTTTTAAAACTATATTTCCCACAATGCAATGCCAGCTTAAAAGAAAGCCAAGTTTAACCACAAAGGAATAAAAATGAGTCCATCCGTTCTGGCAAGATAATTATTTGTTACAAGCATATTAACGCAGGTGTGCCATGGGAGCCAATGTCAAATGAGCCAGCACTGCACAAAGTGGCTGATTCATGGTTGCTTATTGTGGGGGAGTGATCTCACATCCTATCAGAAGGTAAAAATAAAATGCATCTGCACAATATGGTGTATTTAACCCTTTTAAATATAATTGGCACAAGAAACCTGTACACTTTTATTTAAATAGACACATAACTGTTCCCAAGAACAGACCTGAATTATAATAGTCTATATTTTAAATTTTTGACGTTTCTAAGGTAGGTATCTACCCAATTTATTAAATATTCTGTTGGTTCAGATTATCAATTGTTTATACATACAATTTTAAGTTTCCCAGGATTTTATTTTAAGTTTTAACAGAAGTTTGTCTGAAATGCAGGATATATGTTTCCAGCTTTTATTTGATATTCATAGATTTCGAGACTGCGTGCCATCTTGCCATCAGATGGTGTACTAGGGGAATTTGGCATTTTCTTTTTTTTTGCAGAACAATAGTATTGTGGTTCTCATAGCAATTGCACTTATTTGTTATGGCCAGACAGTATGAAGAAGTACCTAAATAATTAGAGAAGTGAAATAGAAAGTAAAACAAACATTATCTAGAAGTAACAAAATGCACATTTTGTGTTGCTTCTATGAAATATGCAGAAAAAAAAGTTTAAGTTCTCATGAGTGGATAATGTGTGTATATCTCAGACTAGGCATCATAGACACAAAGTACCTAGTTAAAACAGAGTACAGTCTCATTACATGCCATGCATAAGAGTGTCATTAATTTGGCACAAGAGATTACGCAATTAGTGCCACGAACAGTGTCTAGTAACGGAGCATAAGGGTGACAAGCTCTTATGTATCAGTTTAAAGGTCCTGAATTTCTAAAGGGACTCTATAGGCACCCGGACCACTTAATCTCAATGAAGTGGTCTGGGTGACATGTCCACCTTATTTTAATTCTGTGGGGGAAAACAGTGGCATTCTGCAGGAACGTTTTCATTGCAGTGTTAACTTGCCTCTAGTGGTTGTCTGCAAAATAGTGAAGTAAATCAATCTGGTTGGCGCAGCGCAGCGTTTTGCCGAACATGCGCACTAGCCTCCCTAAGTTTTCCTGTGTGCCAGGGACCAGCACTAAGGGGAAAACTGTAAGTAAATTCACCTTTTCAGTCCTGGCATGCAATGGTCCAGTAACCTAAATAGTGACTAGGGCACTATAGTGTTAGGAATACACATTAGTATTCCTAACACTATAGTGTTCCTTTAACAGCTTGTTGATCCAAGGAGAAATCGGACCTCCATTTTGGAGTCAAGAAATATATTTTTCCTCAATTTATGGCAAAATTTGAAATTGCCTCAAATTGGTTTTTTTGTTTGCCTTCTTTTGGATCAACAGCAGTAATGCGGATATGAGAAAGGCTGAACTTGATGGTCTTTTTTTCAGTTTATATAACTATGTGACAAGTGCAGTACTATGCACTAGCTCTTCACTTTCCCTCAGTCCTTCCGACGTCCTCAGTCACTTTCCCTCTGTCCTTTTCACCTGTCATACTGCTTGGAGGCTGGAGCTCGTGGTGGTTGGGATATGAAATGAACTGGTGGTGTGGAGACACACATGCAGCAAGAGGGTCTGTAAAATACACACATGGGGATACGGAGGGAGGGGGATTGCAGAAACACACACAGTGTTTGAAACAAAAAAAAAAATAAAACAAGATAAAATCCCAGCTGCAGACAATGCCTCCCTGGGTAACAAATAATCCATGTGAAAAGGAGGACTTAGCACACTTAAATGCTTTTGGACCATGGTGCAACCAAACCGGGGGCTGCCAACACCTATACATGTAGTGAAAAGTAGTGTGGTCCAGGCACTCAAAGTCTGTTAAAAGGTAGTTTTAGAAGAACAATACAGAAATAGTAACATTTCGAACCACACAGGGGTCTTTGTCAAGACAATGCCTCTCCAGGCACCAAAGACCAAAGTAGATTCTTACACATGCCCATATTCAGATATCTATACCCTCAGACAGACACGCAGACACACACAACACACACAGATAGATGCACAGATTGGCTGGTACAGACATAACATGGCCTTGGGCATTTGGGGACCGACTTGGGGTGGCCTCTCATTCAGCCTCTGCTGCTGGCCATGTCTTCTCATTTTCTGTTCGCCTGGACCTTAAGTCCATGAGCCACCACTGCCACCTTTTTATGCCAAAAGGTCTAATACCTAAACCAACCACAAGGAAAATACAGAAATAGATTTTATTTATTCCCACAGAAAAAACACGTGCTACATTCAATTGCGGATTCCATTGTTGAGTGAGTTATAATGAGCAACAACCGAAATTAGCAGAGCGATGATAAAGGGTGAGATTAGATGAAAATCATGAGTCACATTCTCACTGTGCACACACATAGCTGGAGGACTCATATTCCTCCTCATAATACCGATACAGCTGAGCTGATCGCAATTCCTGGCAGATTTGGCACATGCAGGAGGGAAAGTTTAGTGGAAATTACTCCATAATGCTCAAGGTTATAATTTGCTCTGGCAATGGGCATGTCAAATATTTACAGTTAGCACATACGGTATAATACATTTATAAATATTTTTATATTACAATTATTATCACACATAGCAAGGTTCCTTTTCAGATGTCTGTCCTCAATCCTATTTGTCCAAAAAGAACACTCCCAGATAAATCATATAATTAACAATATTGCCTTTTACATTTAAAGCAAACTGTGTTTTAAAATATAATCCGATCTGTTGATTCAAATTCTGAATATGTATAGTTTTTCTAGTGGTTTTACATAATCTGAACTGAAAAACATAAAATAAAAACATTAAAATGAAGTTACCAACTGCAGATCAACTTGTCAGTGTATTTGGGTGGTTTGGCTTATCTATAAATAAAGAATTCAAAAAATAAAAACCAGCATTAAAAGACACTTGCCCCATGTTCCAAACCCATTGTTGTCCCATAGTACAATAACTTCAATGCATACAGTTAAACTAATGTTCAACATAATTGTCCCCCAGTAGTTCTTTAATCATGACACATATTGTTGCTTTTTAGGGGGAAATACTATATACCAGTAGTACATTGTGAAAATTGTGGCATTTTATATAAGCTTTTGGTATTCAGGGCTATGGTGCAAAACACACACACACACACACTCTCTCTCTCTCTCCCTCTCCCTCTCTCTCTCTTTTTCCATTCTGTGGAGCTGGTAAATTTGTCATTTATTTTTATACCCAGGACTTGAAATCAAGAGAAATTAAATCCTTAATGTTAAAATGTTTTACAATAACTATTATATGAGGCAGCCTAGTCTGCCATGTTCTTTTCTGTGAGACAGTCCAATTACATCCTTGGGAATAAACATTGATCCCCCAAGAATAGTTAGAGCCCTGGGCTAGCAGTTTGATTACCACAGTTAATTGAGGTTGGAAGCCAATACTTTATTTATTTTATTGCTGGCACGTGATGGGTTAAATGTAGACAGTTTTCCTATTTAAAGAGAAATGAGTGAGTCCCCCCTCCCTCCTACACACCTTCCTCCCAAGCTGACTCACATCCCACTGCCTAGGAAGAGTTAATACAGGATGGGGAGCCTGCGGTGGAACCTCTGCATAAACCTCTGCTGCCACGCCTTGGATAGAACGCCTGCAGCCAATCAGGGCTCAGATAGCACAATATAAGACACAGCCCCAGCACTTGCTAGAACAGAGAAGCTGAGCTTCAGAACACTCAGACAGTCAGATACTCAGGTTGAGAACATCCACTGGGAGACACACCAGGGTCATCTGTATTGGTGAGTACCAAGGATGTAGAGTGTATAACTGGGCATTACAGCCCACAGTCTGGCTCCTGGCTGAATGTCTACAATTTCCTCATATAAAGAGATCACTACTATGGCTTGTCACTGTTACTGTCTATATTGAGGAAACCAGTAACTGTGTTTATTTTGAGGCTTTATAGAGTGATTCGCTGCATGAATTGGATACTTGATTTTCCAGCTAATAGGGTCAAAATATCTCTGAACGAGGTCCTGCATCCCATTTTTACTGGGTCTGGGTCATATGTTCCAAGTTACTCAGCTGCTAAGATTTTTGTTTTAATGTAAACAATCTTTAATATGGAGAGACGGCATCTAGATGCCCAGAGGTGTTGGTGATTTCATTTCTCAGCTCGTTTTGCTAGTATACAGAGCAGTTGTACTGTACTCCTACACCCATCATGTCTATCCAACTAAAGGAGGAAGCAGAAGCAACATTTAGTACATATGTGATTTTAAAGGTGTTGTAAACTAGTGCAGATTTATTTTACTATCACTCCATGCATCGATTTATGTGAATTCATGAAAGTGTTATAAAATCTTCTTAGTTTCATATTTCCTTATATGACCATAGGAGGTATAAACTAAGTTTTGGAGAGAGAAAGTAATGTGCTAGTTGGTTAATGCACCTTCTGTCTCAGGTCATTGGGATTTTATCTACATTTACACTATATATTGATTTTTGGGAAATGTAGTTTCATGGTTGGGTTCAGACATTAAACATTGAGTTACAATGAACTGGAAATCATCTTTTTAGAATTTACCCTAAAATAGTCAAGCTGAATATTAAGCCAAGCAAAAGATTTTGTTTTTTTTTCCAACTCAAAACATTCTGACCATATTTAATTAAAAATTAAATTCACCAAAATTCACGGTTTAATAAATCTGGTGATATCTTATTAAGAAGCGTTTTGCCATGATTTCTTTTTGACATGGGTTGGCGCAGGTTCTATGCGGATTTTGGTTTTAGAACCCCCCACCCCGCCCACCCAGTAAGTTTATACCACTGCAGTATGATTTAACCTATTTAAATTTATATAATTAATAAAATAATAATAATAAAATCTTGAACATATATATGGCAATAGAAATACAACAATGAAAGACATAGACACAGTAATCATGATGTTGTGTTAAATAGTATGTTCAAATATCTAAAAAGATTTGAATCAAACTAATCGGTTTTTCCAATGTATTTCAAAAATCGGAATTTATGAAAGATTGTTTTCCTGAATGATCATAGTAAGATTACTGTAAATATTTAAGTATAAGATGGGCTATTACTGTTAATATATAAATTGTTTTGTTTTTACAAATATTTGCTTTATTATCTAACTTTTAATACTATATACTGGACCCATAAGAAAAGTAATTTATAGTGCGTTCTTTATTCAAATGTTCTTGTTGTGTTTTATAAAAATAAAAAAAATAAAGGAAAAAAACTGAGTGAGACATGTTTTATTAGTCAATCATTTTAAGAAAGGTATAGAGAAAAAGTGTACATTTTTAATTAGAAGATACTTATTGGTTAATGTAACAAGAGTTATAAAAATAAGCTTTATACGAATGTACATAGTTTTCATTAAATACTAATTCTTGGAATAAAACATACACTATGTATGAAAATAGCTTCTAATTTTACGGGACATGTTGGCTTTAACTGTCCATTGTATTTATTTTACAATATTTTTGAAACAGGTTTCAAAACACAAGTTTAGAGAATAATGAACAATCATGAGTTCTTTTTGTTGCGCAATCACCATAGACATTAAATCAACTTGCTTCTAACATTTTGTGGCTTCATGGAGATAATAAATGAATGTGTTACCCAAAAGGACCATTTTATTACAGCAGATTAAATGATGATGATTTGTCGACTCATGTCTAGATTTTACTTTTCAGCTGTAGAAAACCTGCATTACTTAAAATGAAGACGCTTTTGTTGTCCTTCGCATTTGCCTGCATTCTTATTGGTGCGCTGGAAGCAGTAAGTGAAATATCTTTGCTAATTTATCAATAATTTGTTCTGTTCTTACTGCCTCGTATAAAAGACACTTTTGTCAACCAAATTATGTTTAGGTGCATGCTGACTATCACTATAGGCATAACAGATCCATTATTGATTTTCTTTCTTCTCATAAAAAATATTCACTGTTGATATTGCCACTTGCTCTCAGTCTTTAAGTGATGATGTTTTACCCCGTCAAGAATTATAGCTCTACACTGGAATGGAAGGCCCATGAAATTATTTTCGTTGCTTTAAATGATCCTTCCTCCCTCTCCAATCAGATTTAACCCCTTAAGGCCCAAACTTCTGGAATAAAAGGGAATCATGACATGTCACACATGTCATGTGTCCTTAAGGGGTTAAATTGGTATGATCCAGACTGGGACACTTGTTATCGAGACACTTGCTTAATTTACATAGGTCTTCCAAAAGCATATTTAGAGCACAGAGTGATATATCTAACATATTGTAGGAAGCTGCTATTGTTCACTTAATATTTTATACGCAGGAGGGTTGACCAAAACAGTAAAGCTCTAAGCATGATAGCTTGATGGGTCTTATTCCTCGAAATCCTAACTCACTGGTTGTTTCCCAAGTGCCCAAAGATGCCCAACTGTCTACAATTTAGGGACATCACAATTTTGTTCCAGTGAGGATTATGTCAAAATACGAACCATTTGGGTACACACACACACACACACACACATATTAAAAATGCATTTTAAAATTGTACCCCTCTTTTATTTCCACAGAAACCAAGGAAAATACCAAATGAAGATTCAGAATCTGTCGAAGGTAAGAACAAATTAGATTGAATCAGTGAAAGAGATGTCTAGATGCTTGGCTGCAAACGAGGATTGTCTAGATAGTGCTTACAAACCAATAAAGCTGTAAATTCTAGTGTATTAAATACCGATGCAGCATAGTCTGCTCACTTCAAACAGTGGAAAACACTACTTAATTCAGAGTCAATGAATGAATAATAATGTATGTAATGAATGTACTGATTAAGCATTGTACTTGGAATCAGAATTTGAAAAGGTATTTACTTTTCAATTAGATCAAAACCTTAGACCAATATAGCCACATATCACTTACAGTATAATGTAAGTATTATGGGTCTTATCTCAATCAATTAGCGATTCAGTCATTTACAATGTATCCATTTTCTGCTTATACAAGCGTACTTTTAAAGGTGATAAGGCCATTTTACATTATTCAGCAGGGCATACAATACTGTCTAAAGGTTGTGTTAGACAACCACTAAGTATATAATTTCATTGTACAATTTAGAATATGTATTTCTTCTTTTGACTTTGCATAGAATGTGTCTGTTTGAATGGAGGAACTTGTGCATACTTTCGTCTTTACGGAAGACCGTACAGGTGTGTCTGCCCCTTGGGTTACGCTGGAGAACAGTGTGAAATAGGTATGGGTACATTTTTATTGTCAGTACATATTGATATTAACAAAACTCAAAAGACCAGTTAAAAAAACGAAACAATTATTTGACCTATATACAACCAGTGAATGGATTGATTGGTCGCCTGAGTGCCAGAGAACATGCAAATGTTTCAAAATAAAAAGGAGTCTGCGTCTATAGAGAAGTTATGGTTTGATATATGTGGGGCAAAGACCCACAGAAATGAATGGAATGTTTCTGATGAGTATGTTAAAAAAAAGAAATATGGTCCACAAATGGCAAACACCATAGAGTAATGAATTTATCTCATGTGACCATTCCGATATCTCATCATACTTTTATTGATCTCTATGATAGTGTAATTAATTCAAAGTCATTCTTTATTTTATTATTATGTTAGTAGCAATGCTACTAACCCATGTACTACTATCCTTTCTGTAAAGTAGTATTTTGGCAACGTCTTACACTCTAATATTGGAAATTGTTTAGAAGCTAAAACAGTGTTTCCTTTAAAATTTTACTATCAATAAATGTTTATTAATGGTTTAATATTTTAATTAAGTATCTATGGTAACAATCAATTATCTGGTTCACATGTCTGTATTTTATACAAAACATTGTACATTAAAATAGCATCGATATGGACCCGCTTAATTAAACATGTTTAGAAACTTATTAAAAACTGCGTAGAAGTTTAACTGTTAGGAATTCCATCTTGGAATATTAATTAATGATCATGACTCTTCATCCCAAAGTCATGAGTTAGAAATTCTAATGGCTAGCGACGACCAAGTAACTGCACAAATTCAGGGCATATCCAGTTTGTATAAAAAAATAAACAAACCAGAATTACACAGATGGAATTAAATGTTTTGTAATGTACATCATACTCTTTTCTTTTTTAGATATTAGATCCAAGTGTTACGATGACAATGGCAAGGACTACAGGGGTATTGTGTCTAAGACAAACCATGGCAGGGAGTGCCTGTACTGGGACTCTAAAGAGTTAAAAAACAGTTATTTCAACGCACACAGAGCCAACGCACTGGAACTTGGTCTTGGCAGTCACAATTATTGCAGGTATTAATGCAGATCTGTCACGTTGTGCTCTAGAGCAGAACATTGCTGCTCACTGCAACTGAAGCTGAATCCATCATTGCAGACAGCATAGTATCATTCATCCCTTCTGCAAAATAGTTTCCCTAATATTATATTCTTTTCAGTATTTAATGTTTTTAAAACACTGATTTTGTTTTTACAGGAACCCAAGCAACGGCAGGAAACCCTGGTGTTATTTCAAAAGTGGAAGAAAGGTTTTAACCATGCATTGTGATGTACCACAGTGTGAGAAAGTAGAACCCACAGGTTAGTAGCTCACATTTCTTGCGGGCTTCATTTTTTTTTTTTTTATGAAGGAGGCAGTCTCCCCCTAGTGGACTTTGTTAAAATGTCATACTCTGTTGCTGTAAATTAAATGCCTCTCTTTCTATATGTAACACAATATGAGTGGTATGAGACATTGATCACCAAAATGTCTATCGTTTCTTCTTATTTCTGGCTGATTGCAGTTGTGTCTTAGTCACAAACTATCAGTTAAACTATTTATATAGCGCCATACCACCAGCTATGCTTTGATAGGGGCTAGCAGAAAGTCTGCTTCAACAATGACAAAAATGTGTAGATGCCATTTAAGTGAATGGTTTTTAAGTGACTTTGTTTTTCTCTTAGTTCCAGTACCCACCTGTGGTCAGCGTCAGCACAAAATGTACAAGGTCGTGAGAGGAGGTAGTACCCCCATCGAATCCCAGCCATGGATGGCAGCACTTTACCAGATCTCTAGGAGACACAAACAGGAAACTTTCCTATGTGGAGCCAGCCTTATAAACCCCTGCTGGGTGATGACAGCAGCACACTGCTTCCCTGACGCGTAAGCAAAGCTCCAATATGTCATCCCCTTCTGTTTTGTCTACAGTTTTTGTTCTAAGCCCTAAAATATTTTTCACAAACAAATCTCAAATTATTGTATAATAAAGCAGGGCATAGCATGGCCTTCAGAGACAATTCTAGTTACTATTAAAGGAACACTATAGGGTCAGGAACACGCCCCCCTAAATATAATAAAATCTTACTTTTATTCCATTGCTGTGCAGGTTTGTCGGTGCTGGCTCTGCCTCGGCCCCACATCCTTGGCAGACATCATCCTATTGGAAAGCATTGGATGGGCTGAGATCGTCAAATCTGATGATCTCAGCCAAGGTGGTGGGGTGGAGCCAAACACTTTCTTGGCCAATCAGCATCTCCTCTTCTCTGAAAAGACAGTGTTTAGTGCAAGAAGCCTGCAACAGCTGACTATATTCATCAGAACAACTACATTAAGCTGTAGTGGTTTTGGTGACTGTAGTATCCATTTTAACCCATTAATATGTGAAGTACTTTGTCATATCTCCTGCTATATAGTTTGAAAATTCTAAACAAGCACATGGATTTTGCTCCATTTGTGACAGTACATATAAATCTCTGTATATACTGAAATACAAAGTAATACAAAGTAAAATACAAAGTAAATTACCATTCTACTTTATTTATTTTTAAATAAAGATGTTTATTGAGATTTTTGCTTAACAGGGTAAAAGCAAGGCATCAGAAACAAATCTCCTAATTGAGAATAACGATAACAAGTAATTCAGACACCCAGACCACTTCTGCCCATTGGAGTGGTCTGGGTGCCAACTCCCACTACCCTTAACCCTGCAATCCTTATTGTATATACACTGGAACACTTACACACTCAATAATTCAGAATAAATGCTTTCCATTCCATTCAACTATGGTACTAATCAACAAACAATGTCTCTTTGCAATTTAGGGATTTTGTGGAACCCAAAGACTATGTCATCATACTCGGAAAGTCTAACCTCGATGAGACCAATTTAGAGAAAGAACAAAAATTCTTAGTGGAAAAGATTATTCGCCATGAAAATTTTAATGACCTCACTGGAGCACTGGACAATGATATCAGTAAGAGATGTTTAGTTTGCATGGAAATGGTGGGCATTAAGCCTCAATGTGTTATGTTTGGAAAAGTTGCATTTAAACTAATGCCAAAAATTCTCTTTTTATTTATTTTCAGCATTGATAAAAATACGCTCCACATCCGGCCAATGTGCATCTCTAACAGACTCTGTGCAAACCATCTGTCTCCCTCCATCTGATATAAAGCTGAGGGAAGGTACCAAGTGTGAAATAGCTGGATTCGGGAAAGAGTCATATAGTGAGTACATACATTTTTCTAAGCAAAGCGTTTCCATGGATCCACTGGATAGGACGTAGAAATTAACTTAAAACTGATCAGACCTTTCCATTTCGGTGTTTTCATCTGAAATTCATCCATTTAAAAAAAAAAACATTCCAAGCACCATAGCCACTACAACATGCTAATGGTTTGGTACCCTGGGGTTGGCCAGGTTACCCCCTTCATTGAGAGCTTTCATTAATTCTTCTGAGCTAAGCCGCTCTCAGCCAACGAGCTAAGCCCTGCACTGCCGAGCTAGCTCAGAGCAGAGGACTTCCGGCCCAGCCACCACCTCCAGTTGTCAAACCATTTGCAATCACTTTGACGACTTACAAAATGGTGACCACGGCACTCCCAGCACCATAACCACTACATCACACTGCAGTGGTTATGGTTCTTGGATTGTTCCTTTTAGTTCTTCCAGATTTCCTGGAGTTTGGAAATTGTAGATCACTCAAACCAACTTTGCTTTTGTTTTTGTTTTGTTTTTACAGATAGCATTGTTTATTCTCAACTTCTGAAATCTGCCTCAGTCCAGCTGATCTCCCAGGAGGTGTGTCAGTCAGATAAATACTATGGGAAACTTTTGAATAACAATATGTTTTGCGCTGGAGACCCTGAATGGAAGGTCGATGCTTGTAAGGTGAGACGCTGCTCTGAAGCTGAATTAAGCTTTTTTTAAAAGCTAATTTTAAAGGACATAGGGTGGGATCTCTTCCTTAAAACAGAAGCAGCAGTAGTAGGCTTTAATTTGAACAAATTTTGTCTCTTATAGGGGGATTCCGGTGGACCTCTGATATGTGAATACAATGGACAGATGGCGCTGTATGGCATAATTAGCTGGGGGGAGGAATGTGCAAAGGAGCACAAACCCGGTGTGTACACACGTATCACGCAGTACCTACCCTGGATAAACGAGAAGATGTCAGAGGACAATATACTGCGAAGTAAGAAAATCTTAAAATGAAAACCATTTCGAATTCCTTCTTGGTAACAGCTCAAAGCGATCAGTGAAATCTCTTATCTTTCCCTCGCCAGTGGAGTATCGCAGACCTTGTTTACATGAATCAGTAGCTTTTGCTATTAAGCGGTTGTCATTTTTTAAATTTCAATGAATCTGTGTTGTATGAAAATATTCTGACTGGTTTATACTATGCTGTTGCAGAGATGCAATTACTGTTTAAACCAGGTTACTCCAATGTATCCATTTTATTTGTACATTTTCCACACCAGCATTTCTGTATGTGTGTTGTGGGCTATATTAAATGGACACCGCGGGCATTATAACCCTTTTATTTTATTGAATTGAATATTGAAAATATTATAGTCCCCTGGCACTGTCCCTCCATTCAGTGTTAAACCAATTAAACTGTGAATGACGGTCCCCAATAAATTCTTCCTCAGTCATACCAATTGATACCAGCAATAGACATCTGTAATAGGCTACAAGTAATCAGCTGACACTCTCAACCAATCACCTCAACCTGTTATTGCTTAGGCTAATGCTTCCTTATTAGCCTGAGCAGCACAGAGTGGTGGACTGCTGGAGACTCTTGTTTAGCATCAAAACATTAAAAATGGTTTCACACTGAATGAAGGGTTGATGCTAGGGGGCTCAAGACACTATACCCACATCTATGAGATAAAGACGTTACGGTGCCAACAGTGTCCCTTTAAGTTACTACATTACCATTAATAATGACAGTCGTACCCACAATAAATTATGTGGCTTGTGAATTAAAAAAAAAAAAAATGTAGGATTGGGAATTATTAGAGTGTTAAAATATGCATTCATATAGCCTCTTAATTTACAGACATGTCTGTTTAAAATACTCCCCAAATATTACTAATGCCCAGTTTGTTATAGGTTTTACCTGTAAGATATTTAAACCTGAAAACTTTTCTGAATGGCAGTGACCTCTAACCACTAGCTAAAAGGATTCTGGCAAACCTTGTGCATCAAGTAACCTAACTAGTCGTTTACACGTCCTTTTCATAGTGCACACTTCTAGTTAAGAAAAGTAAATTCTACTTTTGAGGAATAAGACCTAAACAGGGTTGGCAAGGGCTTCGCCAGGTTTAGGCCAAAATGCCTTTCAGCTTGACTATTTTGGTTTAGATGCTTCATGTCCGTTAGTCATTTCACAATTTTATGTTCACTTAACCCAGTTAATACTTATATAAATGAAGGTTTTTAAAAAAAAAAAAAAAAATTAAAAAATTGCACTGGTGTTTTTTTTTTAAACCCCATTGCTGCTTAAAGAGATGTATAATAGATTTTAACATGTTCTGTAGAGGAAGGTTACAGTGTATATCTCTGTATAATCCACAGAGTAGTTTATTTATTTATTTTTAAATCTCTTTGGCAAGGCAGGGGTTAAAATACACATTATTAATGAATCATTCTTCATAAATGTATATCCGTAAATGTGGATTAACCTTTGTACATATGTAACCAGTAAGTTATTTATAAATATTTATGTTATTTATATAACTATTTTATATGTATTTATATGTGGAAGAAATTGTTTAGATTAAATGATGCCCTATGACTTTTAAATAAACATTACGTATGTCTCTTAAAATATCAATACAGTTGAGTTTATTAAAGAAATAATTAAATGTGGTGGCTTTAAAACAGTGTTTTAAAATTCAGACCAAAATAACAGAGTTAGGGGAAATAAATGACCACATAAGCTCTAGTAACTCTGTTAACTTACTAGTTAGTATACAATTTCCTAAAGATGCTTTGATTATGGACGTTAACATTATTTGTTACTCCCATATCCAATATGGGCCCGTGATCTTCCAAAAAATATCTAATCACTGAATTGTATCTGAAGCGATTCTGAAATTGTAGTGTATCTGTGCCTTTCAAGAAAATAATTGTTATCTGTAGTAAATGTGCCATCTACCTCACTATAGTGTAAATAAAGCTGTGAGTGTTCGTTTAATTCCCGGTTTACTCACTTGAGTCACAAAAATGTAATATTAGCGTGACAAAATGCACATCGACGTTCAACGTGAGGCTTGCTGAGTTCGTAAATTTATATATACTGCCCTTGAGGTTGATCACGGAAATTCAAAAAATTATGCAAAAGTAGCTAAAATAGAAATATTCTCAAACTTCTTATTCAAGCTCAGCTAATTGGCCTAGAATTTGCAATTTCACGAGATAGTTATTGAGAATTCGCAATCTAAAGAAAACTCTGCGGATATAGCTTGCATAGATTATCCTTTGCGTTTGCCCTTTTTACGTTTACATGTGGTCGTTAATGGTTGGTTCTCCAGCTATTGCTCCATCAAAACTCCAATTACTTTCTTTCTGATTTATCTTAACAAATGTTAAAATCAACATAGGAGGCAACACAGCCAAACGTCTTTCTGGTTTGTTCACTGTAAAGTTAACTTGCCGTACCTTTTCCAAAGGTTAAATAACAAAAGGTACATAGATCTTTCCAGGGTTGTTGTTTTAAAGTGATATCTCTCTATTTTTTATTTTTTTATTTTTTTTTTATATTAATGAATGTCATGCCACTGTTTGTTTGTTTGGTTTTTTTTTGTGGAGAAATTGTTACAATTATGCAAATGATATATAAAACTCCACTCAGTGCCTTGTCTGTATAAATATCATTTGTATGGGCTGGTCCCAAGAGTGTTATAGCCATGTTTATTTATTGTCATGTGTCTCGTTTTAAAATTGCTAATAAAATGAATTATTTTCTACAAACTTCTGTTGTAATTATGTTGCATAGAATAAAATTTTTAAAATAAACCGTGAATCACACTATCCAAAATAAAAACTTTTCAAAATGTATTCATGCCTGCACACCTATCACTCAACACAGCTAAAACAATCCAACATTATTTACTGCAACCATATGAATCATATGGACCAGCGATTTTCATGTGCAGCCCATTAGCATGAGGAAGAATAACTAATGTGCTCTTAGGTCCTTCTGCGAGCCAGTGAAGGGCTGGATTGGAGTGGCAGTACAAGGACCATGTCCCTTTGATAAGCCCACACCATCTAAAATGTATATTTTAACGTTGCCCACCTCGCTCCAGTCACTGGGTTCCCTGTATTAATGTACTGGTTCCACCGAGCAACAGTGGAAGGAGGACTCAGCAGTGGACAGTAAAGCAAACAAATTTACCAAAAGATGGAGCTGCACTTAATTGATAAATAAAAGCTTTGATGCCAGCACCAAGGCCCAAAAAGTAGTATGTAGTCACCGAAGAAAGAATAAGGTCCAGGCATTCCGAAGAAAGAAAACGGTCTGAAGCTTAGATAGGCATTCTACTTGAACTACAGTGTCCAGCAGCAACGTTTCGACTCAAAGGTCTTTTTCAAGCTTGAAAAAGACCTTTGAGTGGAAACGTTGCTGCTGGACACTGTAGTTCAAATAAAAATGCCTATCTAAGTACCTGGACCTTTTTCTTTCTTCGGTGACTACAGGAGAGAAAATAAAGTGCCTTTTTTATTTGAAAGGGAAAAGGAACATTGTTAAATGGTCCATTTATTTGTTTCTACTTTGATAGTGCTGCAAAAATAGCCACACACTAACACATAAAAAATAATTGGAAAAGTGTATACCCTCTCAGCTCTGGCACATTACCCATAAAACTCATTCATTTTTTGTCCATGTCTCCTGCATGTCATTGGAAAAGTAAGTGCAAATTGTGTTAAAAAAATTAAATACAGGTATAACACATTTATCATATCTCTGCATTATTCACACAGTGACTTATACTTTCATACATATTAAACTCACTCACTTTATGAACATTCATATGTATTATGAACACAAATGTCACGACGTTGTTTGGTCTTTGGCAGGGAAATATCATGGGTACGGTAAGATGATTTTGATAGGCCTATGATGTCAAGTTTACATATTTTATATACCTGGTTAACATGCATGCATAAGTGTTAGCTTTCCTGATTTTGCGAGAAAGTCCTTGATCTCGGGGACCTGTCTTGATTCTCAAACCTGCCCAGAATTTCTATCTTTCTATTTCTATTTTTTGATCCAGGACATAAGCCACTACGACCATGCATGGAATACTTCAGCAGTGCTCCCCACTTGTTCTGCCTTGTGGGAGGCTGTCAATCAGCCTGACCACCCAACTTTATGGGTGTACCCACCTTTTTTACATGTACAGTAGTCTTACCACTTTCTTGGGTAGGGTTTCCCTCTGCAAAGATGCTAGGCAGGTATGACGTGCCTCCAATGTCCATTTTATATATCCGTACCTCACAAGTTTTATAGAGGAACCTCCAGAATGCTTGTAGGCATGGCTTCATAGGAGAAAAATGAGCCCCTGGTAGTTTCCTGAATGCATTTGGGAAGTGAGCTGTTCAATGCTGCAATGCACAATCACATTTTGACAAACAACTGTCCAGATCTGAGCCTGCACAGCTCTGCAGTGCTCAAAAAGCAAAATGCTTAGTAAACTACAGACTTATACACATGGGTGTGTTCTATAGCAATGCTGTAAATGTTGCAATTTCTCCAATAAGAATACAGCATTTAACTGTATTGCTGGACAATTAAGAGGAATGTGTGTATGTGTGGTGATGGTTTTAAAGATGTGATTGTAACAACCAATTTATATTAGCAATTAAAGGATCACTATAGTGTCAGAAAAACAAAGTGGTTTAAGAACAGTTTGACAACTTACCTGGGATCTGCCGAGATTGGGTCTGTAGAAGGGGATAGGGGCAGGTGTGTGTGTATGGGGGGGGCAATGTATGTGTATGGTGGCAGTATGTGTGTATTGGGGGTAGTGTGTGCATGGCGGAGCAATGTGTGTGTATTGGGGACAGTGTGTGTGTATGGGGCGGCAGTGTGTTTATATGGGGGAGCAGCGTTTGTATGGGGGGAGTTATTGTGTCTCTGTGAGGGTAGGAGGGCAAATTCATAAATATATAATTTTTTATTTTAATTAAAAATAATTATTTTAATATCCTCCTTTGTCAGCTTACCTTTTATTGGGAGCAGGGACATTTCCTGCAATCCCGGGTGGTCCAGTGGAGAAGCTGTGGTGGAGAGAGTGAACTCTAGCAGCCTTAGTAGCTGCAAGATTCGGAGCGTTTTCACGGTAACTGCGGCAACACTTTGAGCTTGCGAGAGGAGAACCAAGCGGAGCCGCAAGTTAGAGCTCCCCTGGGTCCTCTCTCCCTCCTTCCCCTGCCGGCTCCCAGCATTACACTGTTAGCGGGCCGGTGAGGAATATCTTGGATCTCCCCTCTGGTCCTGCAGAGCCGGCAGGGGAGAAGGAAGCACAGCTCCCAGTGCTCTGATCATATGATCATAGCACAGGGAAATATTTTGCGGCTCCCCTGTATGCCCGTCCCTGGGGGTGCCGCGGTCTGGAGAGGCCCTTTAATTTTACATGCGATCCAAATAGGGGTGTTCTCACTTTAATGTCTCTAGTGACCTGTGATGAGAATGTATTGTACTAAGGCAGAGTTGAAATGAAAAGAACAGTTAGCCCAAGTGATTGAGAAGACTTTTTTTTTTTATTTAATCTTTTTTTATTAAGTTTTATAACAATATAAATATACAGTACACATCCGAGAAAGGTACTACAATCGAATATCCTTTCCCACATAAAACACACACAGGTATGGCTAATTACACCATATATGTGTAGAAGATAAACCTTCTAATACCTAAAAATTTGGTATACAGTATCGAATGTAGGAGAATCACACTCCAACAAAAACCAGTACCCACAAAAAATAAAACATACAATACGAACAAAACTGGTCCAAGTCAAGAATCCCATAACAATTTGAACTGGTATCAAATATATGGTCAAAGAGCCCATGGAGTAATATCCTATATTGGCTTTCATCCAAATCTAGGCAAGTCATAATACGTTCTTCCTTTAACCTAACCTCATTAAAACCCTCTGATCGTGTCAATAAAGTTGGAATATAGCGTCAGAATATTATCATTAAAATAATCATTCATGAGGATCAACCCTTTTTCCATCTCAAGTTGGTATAGTAATTGAGCTTTAACTTGATCTCTAGTTGGAATCTCAGTACTTTTCCAAAATCTGGCAATTAGTATTTTAGTTGCCATTAGACAATGTACAATCACAATATCAAGATTACCATTTATTTCTGAGCCCATAAGGTGAAGTAGGGTAATTTCCGCTTTATGCTCCAGGCGTATACCTCCAATTCTATAAATAAAATTAAATGAAATATTCCAAAGAGGCTTAATTCTGGGGCAAGCACACCAAATATGGAGCATAGACCCGTCTGGATGAAAACATCGCCAGCAATTTGGAGGGTTTGTATTGGATATTTTTGCAAGTCTAGTCGGTACCAAATACCATCTATACAAGATTTTGATAAAGGTCTCTGAAATATTCAGACAGTGAATACATTTCTTAGTCATCATAAAAGATTTACAACAATTGTTATATGGAATAGATATTATTAATCAACTTCCCATTTAGTTGAAGCTTTGGGTATATCTGGTGCCCCCTTAAGTTTTATCACCTCTATCGCAAGAGAGAACACCTTTTTTACCGCAAAACCAGAGAAAATTTTCCTAAATAATTTACCCAAGCGACCATCTAACGTTAGCATATGGTCTTTAAGATAGCTCTGAATACGGAGGTAATTAAATATTTCTCTAGAAAGAGCTTCAAAGCTTTTCAATTGCTGTTCACTATAAAGATTTTTTATCCTATAGTTGAAATTTTTATGCCAGTTTACCAAATTAATCTCTAACATATAATTTTCTAAAGACCTTAAACTAAGGTTCTCATAGAGTTTTTTTTTAATTAATATTCAACTTTTTCTTTATAATATTCCATTCTTTAATGTTTATGATAGAGACATGAAAGACTGGAATGTAATCTTGCCCGTTTCCTTATTCTGGTTTGCCTTTCTCCATAGAAGAAGCTTAAGATTATCTAGTCCAATTCTAGTTGACTCAATTTTGTACCAAGCTTGGTTTTTAGAATCACTTAATTTTAAATAGCTAGCGTGGACCAGCATATTGGCCTGATATACTTGAGTAATTAAGGGATTTCCTTGATAGAGTATATGTATTGATTCTTGGTCTCTTCCCTCTCCAAATATAAGATGTAATACTACTTTGTACCATATTTAGCCAGTGGCAAGAAATCGAGAGAGGGAGCATGCCGAATAGATAAGCCCACTTAGGAATTATATAGGCTTTAATGGTGTTAATCCTTCCCCACCACAAAATTTCATGAACTCTCCATTCTTTTAGTAAGGCACTGGTCTCTTTTAACAATGTCAAAAAATAAATTTCCATAATTCGCCTTGTTTCTGCAGAAATAATCACCCCCAGATATGTAAACTCTTTTTCCGTCCATTTAAAATCAAAATCTTTCTTTAAAGAAATTAGTTTATCTTTTTGTATATTAATGGACATAGCTGTTGTTTTATTGATATTCAGTCTGTAATTAGAGACACTACTATAATTATCAAATTCTTGCATTAAGTGTGGAAGAGAAACATGTGGGTCAGAAATAGAAATTAAGATATCGTCTGCGTACAGACATATCTTCCATTCATCATACTGAGCTCCCAATCCTTTGATCCTCACGTTTTGTCTTATGTTATTGGCCAGAGGTTCTATTGATAAAACATATTGTAGGGAAGAGAGAGGGCACCCCTGCCTTGTCTCATTATTAATACTGAACCAATCTGAGCGTAAATCACAGGCCACTATGCAGGCTGTGGGATTCGAGTATATGGCTCCTACTGCACCCATAAAGCACCCTTCAAAGCCAAGCTGCGATAGAGTTCTATGCAAGAACTCCTATCCGACCCTGTCGAAGGCTTTTTCGGCATCCACTGACAGGGTCAAGAGGGGGGTTCCTTCAGTCCGAGCCCAATCCAGTAGATCCAGCACCCTACAACTGTTATTAGAGGAATGCCTACCCATCATAAACCCTATCTGGTCCTGATGAATCAGTGATGGCAAGACTATTTTCAATCGTTCAGCCAGAATTGCGGCTAAAAGTTTAATGTCAACATTGACCAGAGAAATAGGACGATAATTACTCACTTCATAGGGGATTTTACCTTGCTTCAAAAATTGGAATAATATGTGCCCTTAACAGATCTGGGGAGGCAAACCCTTTGGTCGCCAATTCATTAAAGGTCTCAGTTAACATCGGGAGTAACTGTTTTTTAAAAACCTTAAAGAACAGATTCGTATACCCATCCGGACCAGGATCTTTACTATTTACAAGCTTATCAATTGCTAAATCAACTTCATTCTGAGAGATACTTCTGTTAAGCCTTTCCTTCTGATCATAAGATATTTTTGATAAATTAGATTTTTTTAAGTAATTCTCCAACATGTCAGGAAATGTATTCAAATTGTATAGTTTTGCATAAAAAGATCTGAATTTGCTGGCAATTTCATCTGGCTTATAGATATAATGAATTCCATCTCCCAGTTTGGAGATCTTTTGGTCAGCCATCTTTTTCTTTAATTTATTTGTTAACAATGAGTCAACACGATTATTCTTGTAATAGTATTTAATATTAAGCTTATTTAAATTACGTTCTATCCTGTTCTTAATCTGTACATTTATCTTTTCTTGGCAAACCTTAATAGATAATGCTCTCTCCTCAGAATAAGATTGTTTGTTAGCTTTAGAAAGATTGTAAAATTCGATGTTATCTATGTTCCTTTTTTGGTGTCTTGCTAATTTAATCCAGTGTCCCCTGATAACTGCTTTACAGGAACACCATAGGCATTCCTTGTATAACTCCTCAGATGTATTCTCTTTAATAAAAAGATCAATTAAATTCTCTATATGTTCTACATTTGCTTTATTTTTTAACAGATAATCTGCCAATCTCCAGATTGGAGGGGGTCTCGTATTGGTTACCACCAAGTCTGCAATTACCATGTCGTGGTCTGACCAGGTATTTTCCACGATGGAAATTGAGGAGATCACCTTTACTAGATTTAAGTTACCCAAAATCATATCAATCCTGGCAGCCCAATTGTGAGAGATAGACCTATGCGTGAAATTCCTTTCATTGGGGTGGGACAATCTACAGCAGTCGTACAAATCTGCTTTTTTTTATCAATCTACTTAATGACGCTGCCTGTCTTTTCAGGGATTTATCTATCTGCTGGTTTTTAGCCAATTGCTTGTCCAATAAAGTGTCAAAAATACAATTAAAATCACCTGCAATCAAAACTCTATCTTTTTTAACCTGTTCCACCAGACCTAAAATTTTAGTCTGAGTTTTAATTGGGTCTTTATTGGGTAAATACACATTAACTAAAGTATAATCCGTCCCGTTCAGTTGGCCCACTAAAATGATAAACCTCCCTTCCGGGTCTTAATGATTAAAACAACAATCAAAAGTAACTTCCTTAGAGAAAATTATTGAAACACCGCATTTCTTTTTTCCTTGTAAAGTTGCAGAGTAAATCAAGGGATATTTTTTATAGAACCATAATTTCCTAGACTCCCCAATCCAATGGGTTTCCTGGATAAACCCTACTTCTATTTTCTGATTAACAAGAGTATTATACAAATAGCCTCTTTTAACAAAAGAATTAAGGCCTTGGGCATTAATAGATAGGACTCTAACCATATCTTACTCTATTTTTCTTTTTTGGGCTCATTGACCATATCTGCAATATGCATGACCAGTTAAACATCTTACACACCCAACAAAACAACATAAAAACATTCATATTTACACAGAAGACTGGAACACAAAAAATATTCCAAGTACTGGGAGTCCCACGGAATCCCACAGGGAGGGGTATAGAAACTCAGAGTGTCTTATGGAGAAAGAGAAAAAACAAACAAACAAACAAAAAAACAGCATCTTCAGCATCTTACCAATTATCTATTTACATAAAAAAACATTTTCCTATTATAATCACATAACAAACCTTCAAATCTTTTACTATTCCCATACGGTCTGTGTATTATTATCTATTCTCTTAAAAAGTGACATTTATATAAAAAAAAAAAATGCCTCTAGCATTGATGGGCGTGAGTTTACTTAACATATCGTGATAAAAAAGTGACTGCAAATCCTAAACACTTGTAACAATTTAGTTATGTAATAAAGTGAAAGAATAAAGAGAGACTAATAAAGCCAAAAATAACTTATAGTAGCCCTTGCCATCACATACATCCTTAAATTCTCAAATTCCAACACCACTTTAACTCATTTACTATTTGAATTGCTTTAATTATATTAGTCGCTCCAATATACTACCATTGCTTATTCGCCGATTAATTTTCCTATAATCCCTTTTGGAACCTTATGTGTACACTCTCAACCCCTACGAACTATTCCACGTGTTAACGCCTAAATAATTTAGTGATCCAACATAGTAAGCTTTAAATACGTGTAAAATCATAACCAAAAAAAGTCACTAAAGGTATATATCTCTCAGATAAATATACCAGTGTCTTAAATGTTCCATTGGTACTAGTAACCTAATATTTCTGGGGTTATCTTAATATAATCTCAAAGAGTGAAAAAAAAAAATTAACATTCATTAGCACTCATTTAACCAAACATGGACAAGATCCGCTGTCTTAAAAGACTTCCATATGTCTTTATAACAGATTGATAAAGCTGATTGCGAATTCCATTTGAACTTTAAATTGTATTTCTTCAAACACGGGAAAAACCGTAGAGAAGAGATTCCTTCTTTGCCTTGTTAGATAGGAACCATCTGTTAGGACTCTTATTGCTTTAGATTTTTCATCATTTATCCTCATCTTCTTTACTGACTGGAGAATCTGTCCTGAAATCATACGAAGCAAACGCCACGATTACATCTCGTGGATATACTTGGTCTTGCTTTCTTTGAAAGAGGCGATGATAACGAGACATCTTTGTATCATGCTGTACAGTTGGAATCCCCAAGCAATTAATATATTATGTTAGAAAATCATGTAGTTGCACGTCTGGAATTTCCTCAGGTATATTTCTGAACTTTATGTTCAGTCTTCTTGATCTATCTTCTAGATCACACACTTTGTCTTCCAATTCTTTCACTTTAGATGCCATCTTAGTTTGGATCTCCTTCACCTCCTGAAGCTGAAATTCTATAGCCTCTTCCCTTTCTTCTATTTTCTGGATGCGTCCACTTAACGTGACTAAATCCGCTTTCATATCAGAGAATTTATCACTCAACTTCTTTTTAATATCATTAGAGATGTCTTCCAGGCATTTCTTTAAAATGGTAGGTGTAACTACCTCTTTATCTATAGCCTTTATAGGGGAGGGGGAAGCCCCTGTATGTAAGGACTCCAAAGTTGATTGCTCCAAGCATTCATGATTATCTTGCGGAACAAAAACAAGCTGAGAGTCTCTTTTCCTGTTTCTGGCCTTTATTATCAGCCTTTGCTGAGGCTTTATTGTCTTGTGCTTTTTTTGATGACATTTCTCTTTAAGAAAATGTATATATTATAGTAGGAACTCTTCTTCCAAGGTAACTGCATTAAGTTGAGAGTTGGGAAGTTAACTGAATCCCCTCAGTGACACAAGGAACCCATAACTCTCCTAAAAACCAGTAGGAAAGGCAAACCAAGTCCAAATTATATACATGTAGATTCAGCAACAAACTAAGCAAATAATCCAGTAATTGCCATCACTGTCGTCAATATATACACATACACAGTCTGCAGGAACTTTCTCAGTAATTAGTAAGGGCACGGTTTTCCCTTTCTCTCTCCTTTTCTTTTCCCTTTTCTCTTCCTCTTCACAAAAAACGCTCCACCAGAGGGTTCTAACATCCCCCACAGGCTCCGACAATTTGTCAGACCGACTCAGTAGAGGGAACTGAAATTAGTCCGGTAGTGTTGTGACGCCGGATCAGCATGCCCTCCCCGGTCCGGTCTCAGCCCGTCTGGGTCCACTACTAGCGGGGATCTCTCGTCAGCTCACGGCATCAGCGTCTCACCTCCACTCCGGTCTCGGCCTCTCCCCTCCCGGCGTGAGCGTCGTTACGTCATCACCGCCTTGCGTCTTTGTGAAGACATTTTACCAGTCTTTATATACAATAAGCAAAATGCGTATTAACAAGTTTCTGGAAGTCTGTCAGTCGCTTAGGCCACTTGATCAGGGTGACCACCAAATACCAAATACCATCACCAAGGCCTCTTTGGTAAATCAGCACAGCCACTCTTAACAGGGTTATTCAATAACAAGAGAGTTCAAAATTAATTCAAAGTGAATTTCAAATTTAAGGCCAAAGAAGCTGATCCGGAAGCATAGCTGACTTGGAGAACTATTCCAATTTGGCTAGTTTGACCATAAATTAAATTCACTTTAAATTCTCCCTTTAATGAATAACCCTATGAGTGTTCTGTTGAAGGGAAACATTTTTTTAATTGGTATGCTGGACAATGCTTTGTGGAACATGACAATCAATAATGCAGTCAGGTTTGCTTGCTGGATGTCCTCTGGCAGGACTCTCTCAGACGTTATTGTGCTGAGATCTGTTGGAGATCCTTCGATGCCTGCCTCAATATGTTTTTTTAATGGAGTAACAAGAGAGTAAGTTCAGAACATTTATTGTGATGTTGGGTTACCTCTTCTACTTTATCCTTTATATCTGTGGTCCTTTGGACCAGGTTGAGGATTGCTACTAACATAGGCTTGCCACTTCTAATAATTTCTTCCTATAAAATTGCCTCAAAAAAGGCAATTTTAATGAAAAAGCAGTATTTGTCAGATTTTGTAGTGAAGGGTAATTGCGAATCGCTACCTGTTACCTTATGCTCAGGTAAGTGTGGATTGAAAAGTAAACTTAAAATTGACAATTATTTCTTCAACATGAAGGAAAGCACTCACAGGGCTTCAAAATACACAAAAAACCTGCCTAATTTTAGCAGATGTGCTTTAGCATATAGTCAATGGTTAAGTCTTATGACTTTGACACATTAAAGCAAGTTTGGTAATGGGGCTGATAAGGTGTTGCATTTTGAAGTCCTATGAATGCGTTCTTCACTTTAGATATGTTATCGTGCTGGAGTTTGCACCTAGCTAAGTGCTCATTACATAAATGTTATGTATTAGTGTAATTTCTCAGTGCATTATGCATATATTTATATATATATATATATATATATATATATATATATACACACTGGTCATAATAATACATTTATTAATAATACAAACATATATATATATATATATATATATATAAAAATATATACCAAGAGGACTGCATTTAAATTACTGTAAGTTCTGTATTAAGCTGTTTTCATGAGAAAAATGGTGCGAATATGAGACATTTACAGTTCGATTTGCTAGAGCAGGAGTAGGCAACCTATGGCACGTGTGCCATGCACGGCACTCAAAGCTACCAGAGTCAAACAGGCTCTGGCCCATCAGGAGTTCCAGTGAAACTTCAGATATCTGCTAATCCTCAATTTATGCATTGCAGCATGTAGAGGAAGTGTCCTCAGATCACTTCCTCCCAGCACTTGTGAATGGGAATCCAAACTGTAGTAGAGCAGCCTGCAGCTGCAGCTTCTGTCCTTGAGCTGTACCTGGCCAGCCTGGTCCCCACTGGACTCCAGGGAAGCCACCCACACTGCTAGATATACACAGAAATGCAGAATAACCCTCCCCTCATACAAATAATAGGAACAGCCAACACACAAACCAAACACACAATCTGCACAAACTCAACACCACTGACAATCCACATACATGCACACAACCCCACATGCAGGCTCTTAAATACAATACCCTAAACAGCCCCACACATACACACACACTACGAAATACACAATGTGAAATATCTATCCACACACACAATTCCACAAGCAGCCCTCATACACAGCCCACATTCATAGGGACACAATACCACAAACTACTCATGAACATATACAATATAATAGCTCATTTACTCACAAATACAATGATACAAAGCAACTGCAGTATTAATAACACAAGCAGAATATGGCAACATGCACACCTCAATTTTAAAAAATAGGACCGGCACTGTACGGGCCATTGTAACGGACCGTTTCAGCAATGGTTAAAATCCGTTTAGGCGATATTCCCCTTCCAAATTCACATACAGCTCCTGCAAGCACCAATCTCCCGAATTGCAAACACATGAATACACAAACTCCCGAACAGGAAACACACGAATTCTCCAACTCCCGAACAGGAAACACACGAATTCACCAACTCCCGAACACACGAATGCTGTTAAACAGCCGAACAGAAAAAAACATACAAACAGCTTACACTCCTGGCAGTCACACTGTAACAGCATACAATCCAATTCCCCCAAGAACGAGACAACACTTCGTTTGAGTGTCAAGCAGAACTGATTTACTGGGGCTACCTGCCCAGCTTTTATGCAAGTCTCCCACCTGGTGGACACTCCCCTAGGGGACCAGATGGAAGACTGGGAAACATATTGGACATTGACCAATCACAAGCTTACAATCCCACAATGCATTGCAATCCCTCCTCTCTGTCCTGGAGATAATTGGGAAGTAATCCAATTATCTCCAAGGACAGAGGCAAAACTCCATTAACCACATGGCAGACAAAGGACAATAAAAGACATAAAATTACATATTGTTACATTTATCACATAGAACATACACATTCTACCTATCCCCAGATAGCTTAGATTTGAGCGCCCATTACTACCGGATGGCGCTCAGATCACATACATAGAGTTCAATCGCCATGGAGCCAAAGTCTTTCATACAGTCTTTCAGTATACGGCTGGGCTCCATGGCATAGCTATCTGGGGTAGCATGATTTAAACAGTAAAGTAACAAATGGACCGATGTTCGGATAATTGACTGCAGGTAGGAGAAGGGAGGTCGGCGGCTCAGCGGTGTTCGTGACTTTAACAGTCCGCAGAAAGGCACGAACCAGCCTTCCTGCAGGGAAAAGGAACAGTGTTAAACATGGGGCCATAGTCTAAAGGGAGCAGGCGAGCAACCAGGCTCCTCCAGTGGCCAGTGGCGAGGTTGGTCCTGCCACAGCCATCACAATCTTATTTCAGTGCTGCTAAAAGGTTGCCTACTCCTGTGCTAGAGTGTTAAAAAACGATTGTCGGGGGATGCCCAAACCTGGCAGGCCAGAGTGGTGAACCCATCGGGATGGAGGAATCTACTGCAACTCACCTAACATGGCGGAGTGCGAGTGTTTCCAGGGTCCCAGATATGCACATTGTGATCTTGAGGCCAAGCTGAACAACAGCCTTGCCAACTTTTGGCAGCAATTGGAGCGCAAGCCCAGTGAGAAGCAGAAAGGAGGTGTTTTACAGGGTCCACAAGCCCAAGCTTCCAGTTTCCTGCGGTGATACAGACAAGGGCACTCAGCTCCAAGATCACAGCAGTGAACCCGGAAGCATACAGTTGGAGCATACAAGCCGGCTCGAGCGTCAGCCACATTCTGGGCCATCTCGAGTGGCTGCATTTCCGAAGGACTTTTGCGAACCACAGATGGTCTCTAATTATACCTCACACTGCTGTTCCTGAGACCTTCACCTAATGCCAGATGACTACCTGGGGCATTGGATGACTTGGGACTGAGATTCCTGCCAGTTTTCTTAATCTCCAACTGGTCCTTTGCAATGCATATTCGTAATCTGTGATCATTTAAACATGATATTGTTTTACTTATAGTTTAGTTAGAGTTAATATAACGTGCTAGAATAAATCCGAAATGTTATGTCTATGTTATCTGCTGACCAGGGGGTATCCAGGGGACTCTTGGGTGTATTAATAGCCACAATCTACGTGTTTAGGATGATTTCTATTTTCCTGGTTTTGTTTTGTTTTTTGTGAATGGGATTACAAACAGCTCAAATAAACATTATGGTAGCAAACATCATGCAACAGTTACATGTCATGTAGATTAATTGCACACAGTCAGTCATGTCCAACTTCAAGGAAAGAGTAGGGCATAGTATGCTTTAGCTTAGTGTTTTTAACTAGACATGCGTAAATTCAGTGTATCAACCTGTGTAACTAGTCAGACATGAAAAGGTGAAGAAGGATACATGTAAGTTAACATGCTAAGCAACTGTTACAAGCTAATATGCCACTAGCTACACCTCATGTGTATATTAAAGAAAGGAAACAATATAAACAGGAAAAAACTCTCTGCGCTATAAACACACGGTAGTAATTATGCCTCTGGGCAGGGCACTGCTCAAGGTCTGGGTCTGCGGGGGCACGCCTCGAAGCCTGCCCCCTAATCCCGCCTCCAAACCCTGCCCACAGGAATACACACACATACACAGCCACATGCACTGATATAAGAAGGACACAGATACGCACACACAAAGATACACACATACTGACACACACACATACATACTAACAGACACACAGACATACATAGTGACACACAGACACATACTAACATACATACAGACACACACATGCATAAGGACATACATACACACACAGACATACATACTGATGACATACAGACATATACATACATATACTGACATACATACATACATACTGAAATACATACACATACATACAGATACATAGATACTGACATACATACACATACATGCATACAGATACAGACAGACATACATACATACACACAGACACACATATACATACTGACATACATAGTGACATACATGCAATAAATGTATATTTTTGTATGTACTTATGTATATTGTGTATGTGCTTGTGTATATTTGTACATATACATTACTTGTGTATACGTATAGGTACGTGTGTGTGTGTGTCTGTGTATGCTGAATATAGGCCTTCATGCATATCCTGTAACTCTTGGATGGGAATTGATGCATTCTTAATATAAGTAATTATTTTGTTTTTATTCTCCCCTTCTAGCATCTTATTCTGCACTGTTTGCTTGTTTTTTCCCCTCTCTCTCCCCCCTCACTCTGTGATCTTCACACAAGATAATTACGACCCTGTGCGAGAATGGTGTCTATTTTCTATGAAACCTGTGTCTTATCTGCACATGTCACTTTAACCCCTGTATCACAACTCAACTTTGCATTCTATGTGTCATCTTGCTCAGAAATGCTTCAGACTTGAGAAAGGGAGTCCAATAAAAAAGGTATTACAAGATACGAATTTGATCTTTTTTTACATCTACATCACTGGACTAATACGGCTACAATCTCTACTTGGACATACATACAGACACATACATAGAGATACATACATATAGACAAACATACCCAATGGGCCCTAGATCTTCAGGGGCCCTATCAGCGTGCAGGCCCCGGCAGAAGTTCCGCCGCTACACGTGGGGCCCGGGCTACCGTCATTGTTGTCACCCCTGATGGCGGCACTGCCTCTGGGAATGAGGTGTAAGGGAATGATCCCTGCACTAATATGAATCTGAAATGAGCAGGCTTAGAGAACAACAAAGTTAACCAGCTTGGCATAAATTGAACAAACATAGCAAGAGTAAGCCTATGAGAGCTTGTGAAGTCTCAAAACACATGGTAACTGCAGCTGCATAAGGGAAGGTACTGTAGTAAGGTCTTTGTCAGAGTTCCGGGTGGTATGCCAGTGTCAGCCTATTCCCAGGAATAGAAAGCTGAAGTTTCTTGTGCTGGGGAGTGGGAGGTTTGGCACTCCAGACGTGTGGTATTGGGTACCCCCTCCGCCTGTGATTTATACACCGGCCTGCATCAACTTGGTCCTTCAGAAAGCCAGGGTGGGACCATGCCGCCGATAGGGGACCCTGATTTTCTGTCAGTGTGGGCGATGCAATGGGGTTTTAATCCTTTTGGCCTTTGGCCCCAGTGGTCTCGTGGTAGAGGTTACTCGCTGTGTGGGGAAGTGAGTGCCAGGGGGGGCCCACTCACCACCTGGCTGCCGCTCTCTCAGTCTCCCACTTGGGATTGTTGTGGCTTTGCCTCTTGCCGTGTCTCCATGTATTCCCAGAAGCATTGTAGCACTTCCTCCAGCCGCCGCAGAGAGTGAGCAATGGGGTCCGGGTATACCAGCCCCTGTTGCATGCATTCGGGGCCATGTGGAGTGAGCGCCGCCATCTTAGAATAGTAAGCTGTGTATCAGGCCCTCCAGCTTAGATTCTGCAGCTAGAGTTGCACTATCGTGCGCCGTAGCATCCAGTGGGGACCGGGATAACCCTCATCGGTCCAAGGAGGGGGGACGAGGCTGTAGCAATAGATGTTGCCAGTGTCGGCAACTCCAGGCCAGGAGATCGGCCGTTTCTCCCCACCACGGGGTCCGCCAGCGTGTCGGCCGCAAGACAGTTTCTGGCCCCAGGCTTTACAGAGAGGTTTCACATTTGCCCCAGAGAGCTTTCTCGCAATCAGGGGCAGGAAAGCAATCGGTTTGGTAGCTTTTGAGGGTGATATCCCTCCAGAGAATGAAGGTTTGGTGGAGGAGCTCATGCTATGCACATCTGCTCTCCCTGATGGCCAGGCCCGCCCCGCCCCCCTACTTTATGTTTTAAGCCTGGACACGCATGCATAGCCTGACTATATTAGTTTATGAAAAATGTACAGAAAACTCGAATGCCTTTCATTGTTGAATATTATATCCTGATATATTTGCCCTTGCTGTTGGGGCATTGTAAACATGTCTTTGTAATTCAGTAAACAACAAAAATTTTTAAAAAATTATAATAATAATTACAAAAAAGATTGTCAGTGAAAAAAATTTATTTTAAGAGTAACTCCAAGTACCATGACCACTTTAGTGATTTTAAGTGGTCATGGTACCTGGAGTCTGTATGTGCAGATTTTCTCTATGAAACACTGCACAAATTGAGTTTAACCCCTCTGCTGCCAGATATGTAACCTCTGACACTGTCATTAGGATGACATCAGCCAGCCCGTACCTGGAATTCCGGTCTGTCAATTCTGTGCATTTTTCATTCACCATGGTCACCAGGAACCCAGGTAAGGTCACAATTGTTGCAAAACGGGTTGCCTCATTACCAGGAAACAGGCCAGACTACTTACTCGGAGTAAGGTAAATAACTAATATAAATCACACTTGACATGTCAACTTTAACTCATTCATGACTGAGTCTTTACCCAAATGTTGTTATTTCATGACAACAGCCTTTTTGCTATGTGCTTGTTCCATCATATTTAACAGTTTCCCTTTAAGTGTATACATTACATATAGTGTTTTGTTTTCTTTGCAATTAAATTTTTCCTTTGCAATTATTGAGATATCGATTGAGGATATGGCAAATTATCTCACAGGGTAAAAGCAAATAAAAAACATATCATCTAGTCTTGTAGTACTGTGACAAATAACCTATTTGCCCATTTCCCTATAAAAATTACTTAGTATTAGTAAATTCTGCCCCTACTCGTTATATTGCGAGTAGGGGCATGTCTAGTAAACAGTGAGCAGCCTAAGGCTGCTCACTGTTAAATACAAAACAAAAACAACATAGTATCCCTCCCCCCGAGCCCCTACTAAGCGCCGGTAGTTCCCTCCTTGTAAAAAAACAAACAAACGAACAAAGAGGTCTTCGCTCATTCGTTTGAAATTTCTATTCGTCTTTCTGACGAATTAATAAATAGATAGATAGAAATTCCAGTTCAAATGCCCAAGTGTTTAACTTTCATAGCACTACCTAGTGTGGGCAGATGATCTGTCCCACAGGGACTTCATCTACCCACACAAAGATGGCAGCGCCCAGAACCTAAAGATAAAAAAATAGGTAATATGGGGGGCTTAGGAGCATTTGGGGATTTGGCCATAGTTGGGCTATGCTGAAACATATATATGGTAAGATGCGTATTTTGAAATAATAATAAATGGCAAAAAGTGCGCAGTGCTTGAAAAAAGAACATAAAACAAGCGTAACATTGGTACTGGTAGTGAATTCAACAAATAGTATATAAACCACAGGGTAGCCTCTTAGTAATATTAAACTGTAGACGTCATATGTTGGTTAATAGAGAACCGGGCATCTAAGAGACATAGAAAAAGTCAACCAATGCCTAGTCTAGTTAAGAGCAGCACTCTTTACAGAGGACTGCCTGAAAAGGCTCTTTGAGTAGTTCAAATAAAATCCCTACATCTGAGGGCTCTGAGTTTGGAAAAGAGCCATCACCTTTGCTCCACAGACCCAGCGATTAGCTGTACTAAAGTCGATCCCTATCAGGTTTGTACAGGGACCAGGATTGAACTAGGCTTCTCCAGTTTCTCCTTCAGATTTCCCTCCACAGGCTTGGGTGATGTGACAAGGTCTTCCCTCGGTTGGCTCTCTGCTCAGGTAGCTAATCAAATAAGACATATCACTGGATATAGCATGTATACCTGTTGTTCGGGGCCTCCCTCCGCACTGACCCTCCATAACACAAGTAGAGGATTTTGTCTAGTTTTTCACAAATCCTGGCAAAGGCTGACAAATTTAATTTCATTCACTGTTACCACCATCTTAAATCAATCAGGCCTTTATTACAGAGTAAATAGTAAATAAGTACAAAGAGTGCTCAACTGTGTGGGTAATAGTAATAAAGGTGCAAGGTATCAATAAGGTAATAGATGGGAACAACTTAGGATAAACCATATACAAGATAAAAGAAGACCAAAAAACCCTCAACGTTTCAGCTGGACACCTTTCTCTAAGGGATCTCCTTGAGAAACACGTCCAGCTGAAACATTGTTTTTCTTTTGGTCTCCGGCCTCTGGTCAGTATACCTTTAGTTACATTTGTGGGTTTATATGTATGCACTTTATACTTGATTTATGAGTTTGGTACATTGTTTATATATAACACACACACACACACACACACAGATATATTTATACTTTTTGGGTTATAGGATGTATAAATAAAATCTATTTTTCATTACATATATGGTGTGCTATGGGTTTATATGTTCTTCTTCATTACAGAGGACCCTCAGCCACCCTCACAAACAGATAATCTTCCCGTGGAGATCGAGAGAACCCCCACCAGTCGGGGGGTGGACAGGGCCTTAATTTGAAGCAGTGGGCTGTAGAGATAGGGAGCACCACCTCTCACACTCGATTAAAAAGAGTAGGCCTCAGATATTGGGAATTACAATCACTGTAATATTGGGCCATCCCAGGTAGTACAGCTGCAAGGATAGCACATTTGTACTATAATCAGGACTCACACATGAGGTTGGAATTTAGGGATAAAATTGCTGATTAGTAGGTTAGTAAACCACATCAGACCCTGCCACCGTATATACAGTTTTTTAAAGGAGAGATATTACTTTTTTTTTTTAAATTGTGTCAATAATGGAGAGATACGGGGGGCGGAGCCGAGCAACTGACTAGACGCATGCGATATGAGCTCCCGCAGTGCAGGCCCAAATTTGGTGGATAATTAGAACCAAATGCTGCGATCCACTCACAAACCAGCCCACGAGCAAGAGGAAGCAGCCACGGTCATGCCGACACCACACGTCACCCAACCTGACTGGGAACTGCGGCAGCAAGCTGAGGCCTAGTAGAGGCACGGGGGGAAGGACGGACGCCTTCTCACCAGACGCCATCCACAAAGCACGAGTACAAACCAAGCACCCCCCCCCCATGGACCGATGGGAGATATCCCAGTCCCCACCAGGCGGGGTGCCCCGAACCCCACATCTACTGACAGGCAAAAAGACCTCCACAAGCGAGAGGGAGACGGGGGTACCCAAATTAGAGTCCAACAAGAGAAGACAACACCCTGGTGCAGCAGACACCGGCACCAACCCAAAGACCCCATTACTGCAATCTTCGAGCGGTTCTGGGTCAAATTACAGGCACTCCTACAGATTGAAAAGCCTCATCGACATCTCCTCATGAGGGCTAGAGCCAAAGACGAGCGGAAGAATGGAGGTCCTCCTCAGGGCTACTCTAAGACCCACGCGACTAACCCACACTACGATGGCCCTCCTGGGCCGAGAGCAGAAAGGGGCGCACCCCAGAGGCCACACTGGCAGAGTACAGTAAAGAGGTTACCCAAGCGATATGGCAAGACTCCCCGCATCACCCCGAAGGAGTTGAACCTGGGCCACGATGGCTCCCAGGGTGATGGCTTACAAGACCAGCTCTCCCATGGCTCCAGGGCGGGAGAGGATCCCCGACTCCGAACCGCTGCGGCACTACCCAGCCAAGTCTCAATCCAGGCAGGAGATGCCCACACCGGATCCGTCCAACCCGGGCAAGCAGAACCAGTCACTATCCAGCATGTAACTACAGACCCAAACGGAGAAATCTCACATTGGGACTGGTCCCTGCACGACGAGTAACGAGGCCTAAAATGGCGGCAGCACCAAGTCAAACCGACGAAGACACATGGTCATGAAACAGGGCGCATCCCAAGCACAAGCGGCGACTGAGATCAGGGCTTACAGGGGAGCCTAAACGGGACTGTGAAATACACCAGGCAGGCGTTGGCTGAACGGGACACTTGTCACTAAAGATGAGTTAATAATAGCCATATTTCTCATACTGACTCCACCAGTGACTGTTGGTGACCGATTGTTTAAGTTTGTTCAAGTTTGATTCCACGTTATTTTCGCATCATTGTACTTTGTGCTAGCTACAGTGGCAATTACAACCCAGTAACACATGCTTACAGGCTCACACCATACTAGCTGCACCAAGAATTTACTTACCTAACGAGGCAGCGATATAAGCACTGTGTCTGTTGGAAATATTGTGTTTACTGACCACTCGACTACGGACGTAAGCTTTTCTACTCATAGTTTTCTTTTCTCACAAATTCTCAAAAGACAGAATGTTTTTATCCCGACAAGCATACAGCTTGTAGACAGCTAAATATTCTGTTCACTGCTTTCTGCAACACTATGCTACTACACTATATAAAAAATATAAAAAAGTGCACGTTCATGCAATACCCCCAATGTAAAGCTTGATGTGTAGCCGGAGGATTGCCTTTGGGGTACCTCAGGCTTGTCTTTAATCACCCTTTGCACTGCAAAAATAAATAAATAAATAAAATAAAATATTGGAGAGATACAATATTACATATCCTTCTTACAAATACTATTTATAATGTCCAACAGTGACCAAAGGGCGTTGACAACATGCAAGTTATGAATGTGTACTTGTCGTAATTAAGGTCTTAAGTTAGAGGTTGCCAATTAACAAGATGTGCAAACGTGCCTTAATCAAGTATCTTGAAACTAGGCAATGCCCACTGTCAACAGTCTTATAACAGGAGAGGTGGCCATTGTTTTGGACATAAGACTCGACCAACATTCCCTTTGTCAGAATAAACAATGAACAAGGTGCACAATAAAAACAAGAATTCCTCACTTCTACCATACACTAAGGCAATCTTCTCGCTCATAGACCATCCTCAAGCACACCTCCATGAAATGCTGAAATCTGGTTTTCTCTTGTTGCAGTTCAAACATTTATGCAGGCATACAATGGTAAAGACTGAAACAAGATGTTAAAATTGTGCTCACAACAAAATACTAGTTATGTACAAAATACTAAATTATGGAAAAACATGCTTTGCTAATAACACCTTTTAACTAGTGCGACAAAAGAAAAATATCTCGGATGGAGCATAAATTGTTTTACCTATGCAATGCTTAGTGAATATTCCCCATGATATACAGCGCTATATATATTTTATGTTACAGGGTGTCAGTCTCGTGTCCTGCTTTCTACTTCTGTATTTCCTATTACATAGCTAAGGTAATACTGTATGCATAGCTTAAAAGACCAAATGGTCAGTAGGCCTGATTATTATACAAGACACTCATGCTTTGAAAGGTTTACACTCACATTTTTAAACATACAATATTTTTCTGTTCTTGTGTTCGTGTGCCTGACACCAGTTTCCACTATCTTTTTATAAACATCCTGCACTTGAAAAAAGATAGCATTCTTTCTAGCACCTGCAATTTTAATTGGGTTCCTAAATCAAAGATTGTCATTTTGTCATGTATACATCCTCTCTATATGCAATGCACAACATAAATCACCTTTCCAGGAGTAGGAGAAGTGCTGCTCGGCGGTCCTATGCCTTAAGGCCAGGCTTTTGCAACATGCTGGTGGACGCCGGCCGCTGCGGATCCACACTGTTATGTAGCCCAATGCCTGTCCACGGTGGTAGCGACGTCGACGTGCGGGTGACATCACACAGAGGACGCGCGCAGATGTTTTGGGTATGGCCAATCGGATTCACAAGAGGGATATTTAAACTCACTCATTTCTTCTACTCATTGCCCTGTCGTGGTTTCCCTTTGCTGGTTATCCGAGAGTGTGTTCCTGATCGTGTTTCTTTGGTTATTGACTTTGGCTTTGTTCTGACTTCCCTGTATTATGGTATCCCTGACTATTGGCTATTCCTTGCAACTGTGTTTCCTTCTGTGTTCCTGACCTCGGCTAGTATTTCGACTATTCTCTAGTACAGGGGTAGGCAACCTACGGCACTAGTGCCATGCACGGCACTCGAGGGGGTCTTTGTACGGCACTCAAGGCTGCTAGAGCCAAATGGAGTCCCAGTAAAACCTCAGATATAAAACTTCAGATATTTGCTAATACGAAGAGGTGGTGAAGGACAATCCTCAATTTATGCATTGCAGCACAGAGGAACTGATCTCAGATCACTGCCTCCCGGCACTTGTGAATGGGAATCCACACTTTAGTAGAGCAGCCCTCGACAGCTATCGCAGCTCCTGTCCTTGACCTGTACCTGGCCAGCCTGGTCCCCACTGGAACCCAGGGAACCCACCCATACTGCTAGATATACACAGAAATGCACAATAACCCTCCCTTCATACAAATAATACGAACAGCCCACAAACAAACATACACACAATCCGCACAAACGCAACACCACTAACAATACACATACATGCACACAACCCCACATGTAGTCTCTCACATGCAATACCCCAAACAGCCCCCACACACTACCAAACACACAATGTGACATATCCATCCACACACAATTCCACAAGCAGCCCTCATACACAGCCCACATTCATATGTATCATACACGATACCATAAACTACTAATGAACATATACAATATAATGGCTCATATACGCACAAATACAACAATACAAAGCAATTACAGTAAAAATAACAAGCAGAATACGGCAGCATACACACCTCAATTTAAAAAAATTGGATCGGCACTCTATGGGACATCACAATCCTATATCGGCACAGTGCTGCTAAAAGGTTGCCTACCCCTGCTCTAGTATGTTAAGTCCGGCCATTCTAAGGTCCAGTTAGACGTTATCCTTATTCCTAAGTGTGATACTAATACTGCGTGTTGGATCAATTGAAATCCTCACACATTTGCATCAGTTAACAGGAGACTAACTAACTGCAATATGTAATGTTATATGAAAAATTATACTTTTGGTTCTGAGACCCCTAAGATTGGTTACCGTTTCCGTTGATGTATACACCCCTAGACAAACTGTGTTTTACATATACGATGTACAACGCATTAAGCCACTGAATGCTTATTGATAATCCATCTGAAATGGTGTGACTTCTTTCAGTATTCCCAGCAGCTGATTTTAAAGAAACAAAGGGAAGCAGAAGCGTGTTAGTGCATACGTCCATGGCAGCGTAAGGGTTTCCAGACCCTGTGGTAATTTTTCCAGCCTAACAATTTCAAAATAAATTTACTTACTAATCCAATTGTAAAATATGTCTAGTGTTTCAATTGATTTTTGGAAATAACAGGACAAATATAGAAAGCAGTGAATTGAAGTTTGAAAACAAAATATTAGGCAAATTAGGCATGGCGAGACAAACTTTAATAGAAGTCAGAGAATCCAAAACTGCTATACAAAAGTATATATTTGTAGAAAGAAGCAATTCTCATATTTATTACAGCCAAATCTGGTGAGAATTCGGTCCACTCGATCAAATCTGCAACAATTGGTAAGATGCATTCGATGTCCAGAATAAAATCAGTGCTTTTGTATCAGAACTCTATACATAGTATAGGATTTGGAATATTTATAAAGCACTTATTTAAAAAAAATAAAAAATCAGATCCAAATGTACATTCACAAATCATAGTTTTTTTGTTTTCGTGTACCCAGGTCTTTGTCCCAGTATTTTGTGTAATATGGGAGAGATGAGCCTCCTGTGGTCTTTAGTAATATATTGTAATAGTGAGATGCAATGTGCAGGAGGTATTGGCTGAGTACATATGAATTCAAAGACCTAAAGGCAATGTTAAACATCCGGGCAGGGCCAGATTAACATAGGGGCTAATGGAGCTACAGCTCCAGGCCCAGGCCCAGGCCCCGGCCCAGGCCCATGGAATAGGCCCATTTAAAAAAAATATATATATATATATATATATATATTTTTTTTTTTACTTTTTTTTTTTTCACACTACTCTTGGGTTTGCCACCTGACTGGTATTTTACCAGCACAGTAGATACTTGAGGCTGCCTGGCCGTGCCGGTATTGCAGTAAAACCAGCAATACAAATGCAGATATTTTTTTCAGTATAAACAGAGATTACTCTGCAATACCAGCACCGGCCAGTAGGGGTCACTGTGTGTGGAGAGAGGCAGGGATAGGAAGTTACAGCATCTCCCTGCCTCTCTCTACTCACTGATCATCGGGGGTGCAGCTACAAAACACAGAGAGTCCAGACAGCAACTCCCAGCCTGCAGAGACAGCCTACAGCTCAGGGAAGTGAAGGATGGGGGGGAAAGGCAGCAGGGAGACATGGGGACACTGAGACACATGGAGACACAGACACATGGGGACACTGAGACACAAGGGGACACTGAAACATAGGGATATTAGGAGACACATTGGGACACGGAGACACTAGGGACACAGTGTCTCCATGTCTCCCAGCCAGTGTCCCTAGTATCTTAGTGTCCCCATAGCTATCAGTGTCCCCATGTCTCTCAGTGTCCGAAGTGTCTCAGTGTCCCCATGGTCCCCAGTGTCCCCATGTGTCCACATGTCTCCCAGCCAGTGTCACCATGTCTCCCAGTGTCCCTATGTCTCCCAGCCAGTGTCACAGTGTCCCCATGTCTCCCAGTGTTCCCACATTTTTCAGTGTCCCCATGTTTCCCAGTGTCCCCATGTATATGACCACAAGTGCCCCCATGTCTCCCATTGTCCCCAAGTGTCTCAGTGTCCCCATGCATCCCAGCACGTGTCCCTAGTGTCTCAGTGTCCCCATGTCTCCCAGTGTCCCCTAGTCTCCCAGTGTCTGTGTTCCAATGTCTCAGTGTCCCTAGTACCTTAGTGTCTCCAAATGTCTCAGTGTCCCCATGTCATCCATTGTCCCCAAGTGTCTCAGTACCCCCATGTTTCTCAGTGTCCCTGGGTCTATGTGTCCCTGGGTCTCTCAGTGTCCCCATGTCTCTCAGTGTCCCCTAGTATCCTAGTGACACAGGAAACACAGACATGGGGACACAGGGAGAAATGAGGACACAGACACTGGGAGACTAGGGGACAGGGTGACATGGGGACACTGTGATACATAGGGACACTGATGCCAGGCTGGCCTTCCAATTCTTTGGACAGACATGCAGTTTGGCAGTTCTGGTCACGTGATTTGCGTCAGTGGCCCACCCTTTTACATCGCCCATTGATTTCCTGCTTCACTGGACACTGCTGTTAGGGGGTATGGATTTACTTGAAAGATGAAAGCATAAATTAGAGAGAGATTAGCATAGAGTATGTGTTTTCTTATAGCTGCATCCTTTGAGTTTCCATCCAACACCATCTCCATTAGATACATGACGCTTGGGAGGTATGACTGTTATTGTTTTTGGTCGATAAGATTCTGTAATTAGGCCCCATCATAATTGTCAGCACGAGGCCCACTGGGCTCTTAATCTGGCCCTGCATCAGGAGTAAATCTTTGAGTGTTATTGTGATAGTGCCATTTGTGTGTATGTCTTTTAATCTCCAGGGAGATTGCAGGTTGAGAAAGGTCAGAAATCCCGGCGCTCATGCCGGAGCAAAGGTTGGGTTGTCCAAAATCACCATCAGTAGAGAGGGGATGGAGGACAGGGAAAAATCGCATAGTATAGCAGGACCATATCTGAAGGGTTGGAGAGACAATAGGGTGGTTCCCTGCAAACTTTACATTGGGGATGTGGTGGCAACCAATGGAAGGGCATAAGGTGAAAGATTCTATTTGAATCCATATTTTCTGGAGAGGAGAGACCATTCAATTATGCATTGTAAGTGGATAGCTTTGTGAAATAGGAAAATGTCCAGTAGTCCCAGTTCTTCCTCACTTTTAGATTGTGTAAGAATATTAAATTTTAATCTCTCGTTGGGGTTGTTCCAAATGTATGAGATAAAAGTGCTTAGAATAAGGAAAAAAGCAGAATAGATTTTCCATAGGCTAATTCTGCAAGAAATATAAAATTTGAGGGAGAACATTTATCTTAGGGACTTGTATCCTACCTACCCATGTTATATGTGTGAGGGTACAGTTTAGTAAGTTTTTAGAAATCTGTTGTAGGACTGGTGTGAAGTTAAAGTCAAAGGTTTTGACCAGGTTAGAGGGAGGTTTAGTCCCAAGACAGGCAATGGAGTCCTTTACGCGTTTAAATGGAAACATGGTCTGGAGTGACCCAGACAGTGAGCTAGCATAGGAGAGATTTAATATTTCTGATTTAGTATTATTAATTTTTAATTTGGATATAAATCCAAATTGCTCATCATTAGCTTGTACTGTGTTGAAAATGTTCTAGGCTTAGGGCAAACAGGCAGGGCCGGTGCAAAGATTTTTGGGTACATAGGCGAAGATGTATCTTTCCACCCCCAAAATAACATCTTCACCTATGTGCCTCTTAACCAGCCCCTCTCCCCATCCATTAGTGGTCCCCTCCCTTCCCTGTCCCTTAGTGTTCTTCTAAGCTCTCCCCTCTTTTTCCTGTCCCTTGGTGCACCCCCCACCCCTTTAGTGGTCACACTCCCCTTCCTGGTGTGCCTCCTACCTCTCTTGTAGCGTTGCCGAGTGGAGGATATCCCCTACAGGAGCTTCAATTTTCTGTACCTGGCCAGACTGACAGGGAGTGCTCTCTCAGTGAGCACCTCCGGTCAGTCTGGCCGGGTACAGGAAACAGAAGCTCCTGTACTGCGCTCCGCCACGCTACACTCAGTGGTGTATACACACTGACAGTCACACACACTCAATGACAAACACACAGACTCACTGATCTGACACACACTCATTCATTGACAGACACACTGATACTCACACACAGACTCAATGACAAAGATACTCTCACTGATTTGACAGACACTCACAAACACACACTGACAGACACACATACACTGCCACACTCATACACTCACATGCAGTACTCATACAAGCACTCACAGACACACACACTCATACAATCACTCACAGACACACATACTCATGCACACAGTCACTCACAGGCACACAGTCACTCAGGCACACATACACTCACACACATCACACACAGTCACACACACAGACACACACTCAATCACAGACAGTCACTCACAGACACACAGTCACTCAGGCACACACTCATTCATTGACAGACACACTGATACTCACACACAGACTCAATGACAAAGATACTCTCACTGATTTGACAGACACTCACAAACACACACTGACAGACACACATACACTGCCACACTCATACACTCATATGCAGTACTCATACAAGCACTCACAGACACACACCCACACACACATACTCATACACTCACTCACAGACACACATACTCATGCACACAGTCACTCACAGGCACACAGTCACTCAGGCACACATACACTCACACACACAGACACTCACACACAGACACACACTCAATCACAGTCACTCACAGACACACAGTCACTCAGGCACACATACACTCACACACAGACACACACACACAGACACACACTCAATCACAGACAGTCACTCACAGGCATGCAGTCACTCAGGCACACATACACTCACACACAGACACACACACACAGTCACTCACACAATCACAGACAGTCACTCACAGACACACACACAGTCACTCAGGCACACATACACTCACACACACAGACACTCACACACAGACACACACTCAATCACACAGTCACTCAGGCACACATACACACACACACACACACAGACACTCACTCATAGACAAACAGACACACATACACACACTCACTAATTATTTTAATAAATAAACATTTTCCACCCAGCCTCCCTACCTGGAGAGCTGGTGTAGATGATGAATCATTCCCTGGGGTCCAGTGGGGCTGCTGGGAGGCGTGCGGCAGTGCTGTGATCAGACGCGGCGAGGGAGCTCTAAACTCTCTGCTCTGCTCCCTCGCGGCTGCCTTCTGATACCGCGGGAGCCGGGTTGATGACGTCATATTCCGGCTCCCGCGGCATCAGCAGACAGCGCGCGAGGGAGCAGAGGGTGGAGATTAGAGCTCCCTCGCCGCGTCTGATCACAGCACTGCCGCACGCCGCGCCGGGGGTCGAGATGGTGGCCTGGCAGGAGGGAGAGCTTCCCTCCTGCCGGTCACTGAAATATTGCGCCCCTGGAGCCGGTGCGCCCTAAGGCAGCCGCCTGTGCCGCCTTATGGACGCGCCGGCCCTGCAAACAGGAGAGGGAGATAAGGGGCATCCTAGTCTTGTCCCATTGCATATTTTACAGGGGTGACTCTGGTCATGGGAAAGGTGTATATGGCTGAGATCCAAGAGAACATATTTTGGCCAAAACCAATTGATCTAAGTATCCACACTGTCGACCGCTTTCTCTGCATCTGTGAAGAGAAGCAGCACCAGTAGTTTCACTGTTGATATTAGATAGATTAGATTAATATCCGTATAATCTCGAGCCTCCCTCCTGGGTAAAAGACCCACCTGATCCGAAAGGATCAATGTTGGTATGTGAAGTTGTAGACGCAGATGAAGGACCTTAACAAAATGTTTTAGGTTGTGTTTGACAGGGAGATTGGCTTGTAACTAGTGCAAAGAGACAGATCCTTCTCCTCCTTCAGGTTAACCGTGATATGAGCTGATAACGTTTGAATGTATAAATGGTTACCATCAATCAGGAAGATTAATAATAAAAAAAAAAAAAATTGAGGGGCCAATACATTAAAGTATTTTCTATAATATTTTTTTTTTTAATTCTTTATTTTTGCATTGACAGACATTACAGCTTGTAAACAGTATTGGGGCTTGTGCATAAGCCTAGCATCAAGAGATGCATTGGTTTTTCAGCGATACCGAAAAAAGATAATAGTTTTGTTAGGTATACATTTGTTGTTCGGAAGCCCCGCCTTTACTTTCTGCGTTGTTGTCTGAAGCTGCAGTCCATCAGTGTTTTTCCATTTTCATAAACACAATAAACTTCAAAACCTGGAAACACCATATTTGGTGTTTTCCTTAAGATAACACGAACATCTAAAACTTTGTATCATAACCTGTTATTCTATTCGTCTCGTAGTTATTATTATTTTCCTATTTTGACTTTGCTCATAGGAGGGGTGTCGGGCCTGAGCCATTGTTGGGTCATTGTTGGTCACAAAGGACTATGATCTATCTTTTGAACCACTGGACCAATTTGAATGATTTTGACTTATGTTTGTATTTGGAATATGCTGATTCTGAAAATGTAAGTTTTATCTCAATGTGATGCATACTTTTAAAATTATGAATAATGTGGAAAAACTGTATTTCTCTGCCTGTGATAATTACATTACCCATTGTGTAAGGTAATTGTATCACAGGCAGAGGGGAGGATTTTGTGTGGGAGTGTCTGAGTGTATTGTACGTGTTTATTGGTTGTTTTCCAAAACCCTGTGGGTGGTACTAATGTGTAAGAATGTGTATATAAGAACAATAAACGCACAGCTCTGCCTGTTCCTGCTTGACACTCAAAACGGAGCCTTGTCTCGTTCTTGGGGGGATTTACTGTATGCTGTTAGAGACTGATTGCCAGGAGTGTAAGCCACTTGGGTGCTTTTCCTGTTCAGCTGCTAGCAGCTATTCGTGAGGTTCCAGTTCGGGAGTTTGGAGTGCTACTTTGTATCCTGTTTGGGAGTTTGGGGTTCTGTGGTAGCTGTGCCTGTGTCTCTAGAAGGGGAAAATCTTCTCCCTACAACACCTGTGCATGCTCCTCATGAGGTGGTGAATGGTCTCCTGAGGGATCTCCTTCCAGACCTGGACTAAAGCATCTGCCAACTCCTGGACAGTCTGTGGTACAACGTGACATTGGTGGATGGAGCGAGACATGATGTCCCAGATGTGCTCAATTGGATTCAGGTCTGAGGAACGGGCGGGCCAGTCCATAGCATCAATGCCTTCCTCTTGCAGGAACTGCTGACACACTCCATCCACATGAGGTCTAGCATTGTTTTGCATTAGGAGGAACCCAGGGCCAACCGCACCAGCATATGGTCTCACAAGGGGTCTGAGGATCTCATCTCAGTACCTAATGTCAGTTAGGCTACCTCTGTGCGGCCCCCCAAAGAAATGCCACCCCACACCATGACTGACCCACTGCCAAACCGATCATGCTGGAGGATGTTGCAGGCAGCAGAACGTTCTCCACGGCGTCTCCAGACTCTGTCACATGTGCTCAGTGTGAACCTGCTTTCATCTGTAAAGAGCACAGGGCGCCAGTGGCGAATTTGCCAATCTTGGTGTTCTCTGCACGGTGTTGGGTTGTAAGCACAACCCCCACCTGTGGACGTCGGGCCCTCATACCACCTTCATGGAGTCTGTTTCTGACCATTTGAGCAGACGCATGCACATTTGTGGCCTGCTGGAGGTCATTTTGCAGGGCTCTGGCAGTGCTCCTCCTTACACAAAGGCAGAGGTAGCGGCTCTGCTGCTGGGTTGTTGCCCTCCTACACGTCTCCTGGTGTACTGGCCTGTCTCCTGGTAGCGCCTCCATGCTCTGGACACTACTCTGACAGACACAGAAAACCTTCTTACCACAGCTTGCATTGATGTGCCGTCCAGGATGAGCTGCACTACCCGAGCCACTTGTGTGGGTTGTAGACTCCGTCTCATGCTACCACAAGAGTGAAAACACCACCAGCATTCAAAAGTGACCAAAACATCAGCCAGGAAGCATAGGAACTGGGAAGTGGTCTGTTGTCATCACCTGCAAAACCACTCCTTTATTGGGGGTGTCTTACTAATTGCCTATAATTTCCACCTGTTGTCTATCCCATTTGCACAACAGCATGTGAAATTGATTGGTACTCAGTGTTGCTTGTTTGAATTCACAGACGTGTGATTGACTTGGAGTTACATTGTGTTGTTTAAGTGTTCCCTTTATTTTTTTGAGCAGTGTGTGTACATATATATATATATATATTGCATGCGTAACATGAGCAGGACCGTCCACACTGAAATCTGGCCATTGGTTTGTTCTTTTCCTGCTTGCACATCTCTGAAAACACACAGTGACACCTGATGTCAGGTATGGCACGGTTTGTATTTGACACCTGATGCCAGATTTGGCACAGTTTGCATGTGACACCTGATGCCAGGTATGGCACAGTTTGTATGTGACACCTGATGTCAGGTATGGTTTGTATGTGTTGTGGACAAAAATATTAACCCAATTTATATTACTAAAATGCCTATTTACTCAACATAACTACAATCAGCATTATTCATCTTTCTATGTGATTTACCTAAAATGGCCGCTAGGGAGTTTCCCTTTCAACATCGACTAACACCCTCATTAACAAGATGGCGCTGGAATCTGGGGGAGACCTCCAAGATACCAGTGACATCACCCCCAGTAGGCAGAGCATTAAATTAACCACTTAACACCTAACCAATTATTGATGTATTATTCCATGTTATCTCTGACAATGCTTATGATGTAATTTTGCTTTATAAGGGATGTCGCCCCCCCTGAATAAACATTCCTCAAGTTTTTCAATAACCCGAAACTTCTGTCTGGTGTGAATTACTTCAGGAGCGTGCACGCACTATTTCTTTAATTTGGCTGAGGGCAGATACGCAAGATAATCAATTTATTGATTGATATCCACATCAGTATGTGACACTTGTCAGGTCAGGTATGGTTTGTATGTGACAACTGTCAGGTATGGCATGGTTTGTATGTGACACCTGATGTCAGGTATGGCACGGTTTGTATGTGACACCTGATGTCAGGTATGGCACAGTTTTAGGGTTGCCACCTGAATTGTATTTTACCGGCACAGCCGATATTTGGAGCTGTATAGCCGGTATTGCAGGAATACCGGCAATGCAGTGACCGGTATTTCTGTCTGCTGGAACTCTGAGAGGCTCTCCTAGATCTGCATGTATCTCTGCCACAGCTCCCTGAGACAGACAGAGTGTGTAGAAATACTCAGGCAGAGTATGAGAGATACTTACTTGCAGGTCTGGGAGATCCTCAGATCGATATTTACCTCTGCCCTCTTCCTCCTGCTTCATCTCCTCACTCACACTCAGTGAGGAGTGCTCCTCTGAGTGTGCTGTGGCTGCCTACTGGGGATAGCAGACCTGCCAGTAATGAAGATGGGAGCACTATGGGACATAGAAATAAATGTTTGTTGTATATGTATTTCTTAATTGTATGACTGTGTCTGAATGTCTGTGTATGACTGTGTCTGTGTAAATATGTCTCTGTATGACAGTGTCTGTATGACTGCATCTCAATGTCTGTGCCTGCATGTCTCTGTGTGACTGTATCTGAATGTCTGTGCCTGTATGTCTCTGTATGATTGTGTATGTTAGTGTCTGTGTATCTCAATGCCTGTATGACTGTATCTGTATGATTGTATCTGAATGTCAGTGTCTGTATCTGTGATTGTGTATGTTAGTGTCTGTGCCTGTGTGTCTGTATATCACTGTATGTCTGTAAGTAACTTTCCTCTTCCAAATGTTAAACAACATCCGGTGACGTCGTCCAGTGACATCACGCATACATAATTAATTTTGTAAATTAGCATGGCCGGTATTTTGTTCGAGGACAGGTGGTAACCCTATGGCGGTTTGTTAGTCAGGGTGCTGTGAGATAGTGGCCATGCACCCCGTGTGCCGGCTGCTGGGAATGGCCGCACTGTGATGGTGGTGTCTCCGGGACGGACTGTCAGTGAGGGAGAGGTTGGAATAGGACGTGACGTGATGACGTAATGTTTCGGAAGTGGCTGTCCAATAGGCGGCCGGAAGCCGTTGCCATGGTGTTTAGTAGGGCACTTCCAGGCTTCCGTAGCTCGGGGTGCGGAGGAACGCGGACTATGAAGGGAGTGAGTGCCGTGTGACAAGAGGAGCGGTGAGTTTGGGAGTGAGTACCGAGGAGAGCTCCGGTCACAGCATGTAATGGGTGCTGCCCGGTCACCGCGTTTATCGGATTCTGGGGGTCTATGCGGAGGGGCTGGTTAGGAGCAATGTTACTGTCTGGGCGGCAGGAGATCTCTGACACCATCTGACTGACTGTGACAGACACCATGTGACGGACGGACTGACTGTGACTGACTGTGACTGACACCATGTGACGGACGGACGGACTGACTGTGACTGACTGTGACTGACACCATGTGACGGACGGACGGACTGACTGTGACTGACTGTGACTGACACCATGTGACGGACGGACGGACTGACTGTGACTGACACCATGTGACAGACTGTGACTGACTGACTGTGACAGACTGTGACTGACTGACTGTGACAGACTGTGACTGACTGACTGTGACAGACTGTGACTGACTGACTGTGACAGACTGACTGACTGACTGTGACAGCCGGACAGGGCTGAGCTCGGCGCCCTGACTGAGAGAAATGCAGGGCAGGGCTGGCTCTATCTCTCACCGTGTGCCGGGTGTATCTCTCACCGTGTGCCGGGTGTATCTCTCACCGTGTGCCGCCGGGTGTATCTCTCACCGTGTGCCGCCGGGTGTATCTCTCACGCCGTGTGCCGCCGGGTGTATCTCTCACGCCGTGTGCCGCCGGGTGTATCTCTCACGCCGTGTGCCGCCGGGTGTATCTCTCACGCCGTGTGCCGCCGGGTGTATCTCTCACGCCGTGTGCCGCCGGGTGTATCTCTCACGCCGGGTGCCGCCGGGTGTATCTCTCACGCCGGGTGCCGCCGGGTGTATCTCTCACGCCGTGTGCATTGCTGGTTGCTCCTCGCTGTGTTGGGGTGCGGTGCTGGGTTCTTCGGGGGGAGGGAGACGTGGACCTGAGTTCTTCGGGGGAGGGAGACGCTGTGCAGTTTTTTTTTTTTGTTGTTTTTTTTTGTTTTCTCGGGGGTGGTGCTGGGTTATTCTCGGGGGTGGAGAGAGGGGTTTGGTGCTGGGTTATTCTCGGGGGTGGGGGGGTGGAGAGAGGGGTTTGATGCTGGGTTATTCTCGGGTTATGCGGTTATAATCTGGGTGCTGGATTAAATATGGAACACTGCAAACCCGAATTCAGTTTGCAATCAAGTTTTGTAAAAAATCTGAGAATTTTTTTTTTAATGATATTGTAGAAGTTGATATTGGTATTGAGCAGACGTATAAGTTCACTTAAACAATTAAATGTAGTATATAATAATCTCACTTAGTAATTTTATTATTGACATAAAGGAATGTACTAGCAACTTGTTTATTTTCCTGAATTAGGGTAATTTATGCTAAACTATCATTAGGGTTTATGATAAATTACTATACACTCACTAACACTTTTGCCACTTTATCAGTTGAATCTGCTTGTAATGAAAAATAGTGAGTTGGGTCTACAACATAATTATGTGGTCCTTCTAGCATGTAAGGAACAACTGAACTACTTGGATTTTTGTCATTTGCAGTTTAAACTGCTTGCAAATATATGGCGTGGTTACCAAAAAAGTTATTCGTATTTCTGTGGATGAAAACACCTTGATAATGAGGCGTCAAGAAGAGAATCACCAGATATTTTTAAAATTAAAGGGTCAGTCCAGACCCTTAAAGCATTTCAGCATGCTGAAGTTCTTTGTGTGTACTTTTTATTTTATAAAAAGGGCAGATTTCAATAGATATTGATACTATTGTAAATTAACCAGATTCCACTCCCAGGCAGTCAAGCAGACAAATGTTTGTTACTTCTACTTTTTTAGCTCGGTTGAGCTAAACTCAAGAGGTTGGCAATTGATTGCTCATAGAAACTGTGATACATAATGAGCCATTGTTATGTCTGCAATTGGACAGTCACAGAAAATCTTGGCTAGGTTAGAAGGGGAAGGCTTGCAAAGACTTCAGACAAGAGATCTGCAGCTTTTGCAAGCTGGTTTTAAATAAACACATGCATGTTTTAAATGGACACTCAACTGCCAAAGAAAACTATTTAGTAGATATACCCACAATGAAGAGGCCACAAATACCAAAAAAATGTTTTAGAACAAAAGTTTATAGCAGCAGACAAACTTGTTAAGGTTCCCCTCTTGCCAGCTAAGATTAGGAACTTAAGGATCTAATAGGCCCTGAATGCCTAACTGGCCCATCTCCCCAAATTACAATTTGTTGTTCTTTTAAACTACAAAACTATACTGTACATCAGGGCTTGGCAAATCACAGGCGACTACATATTTTGCCCTGGCACCTAGGATTTGCAACCCTTTAACTTAACTGGGCGACTGGGGAAACAATAGAGCCGGTTTCACTAGGGAGCATTGAGGGAGCAGTAATCTTCCTGCAGCTCCTCTCTGCTCCCTCACACTGTATAGTGATGATGGGAGCTGGAATATGGCATCACTACAAGGAGCAGAGAGGAGCTTCAGGAAGATTACAGCTCGCGTGCAGGAATTGTCGCCCCACTGGACCCCGGGAAAGATCCACTCAGCAAATGTCAATTTGTGTGCGTGTGCCTGTTTAGGTACCTGCCCCCCTCCGATCACATGACAGGTATTTTAACTACCTTTTTTCCAACGCTGGTTTCGCCGTGGCTTGTCCTGCCGTCATGACTGAGATCATCAGTCTTTATGATCTTGGCTAAACCAATGCTTTCCCATAGGAAAGCATTGGGAGGATATTGTGCATGTTCTCTATGGGTAACATTCAGCACCTCCATGCAGAGCGTGGAGAAGCTGAACAAAGATGCTGCACACTGTGCAGCACTGACACGGGGCTCTCCAGTGGCTGTCTGAGGAACTTTCACTAGAGGTGTTACTAGGCAGCAATGTTAGCACACTGCCTTGTCTCTGAAAATGCAGTATTTACATTGAAAAGGCCACAGGGACAGGCTATAGGCACTAGAACAGCTACATTAAGCTGTAGTGGTTCTGGTGACTATTGTATCTCTTTAAGAATTGTATATTTCTTGTTGTAAATTAAACTTCGCTAGTTAAAAAAAAAAAAAAAAAAACTGGCTCCTAGATTCCAAACAAATTTGTCAAGCCCTGCTATACATAATTCTTCAGACTGGCAAAGCATTTTGAAAGTTGTAACTTTAAACCATCCGGAGATCTATCTTTTGTGGCATTAGGAAAGCTGTCCGTAACTGCAATTCTTATATATACTGCCGTATTGAATATCTTGCCATGGTGTACGCCACTTGCCCTAAATGTGCAAAAATAACCCTACTGAGACATGAGTTCGGATTTAGTTCAGTCACTCCTAAATCTTTTGTTCTGATATGTGTTTTAGTAATTATTAAGCCCGAAATATGTATGTGTTTACATATGGTTAAACACATTGCAGTTTCTGGCGTCAATGCAGAACATTTGAATAGCAAGATGACTTCAGCCCTCCGTACTATATTTAGAAATGGGGGTTGCATTTACATTAACTTGATTTTTAACTACCATTTACAGTAGTCCTATGTCTAAATATGTCTTGTCCTTTTGTATTCAGGATTCAGCAAATCCTTCTGCGAGTATATTGCATTACCAACTCTATTATGATATATACCACGCTAGGACCCATCGGCAGAGTGGTTTTCCTAACCCCTAGCCTTTGAAGGAATTAAAATAAATCAATCTTGGAAGGTTTTCTGTTGCGTCTCAAGTATGATTTAGAATGCTTCCCAAGCCAATTCCTGCTTGGGTGCTTTACATTTTTTGTTTTGCTGTACAGTATGCTCTCACTTCTGCTGTTAGCTTGAGCATGTTTTTTTTTCATAGTAATGTTTGCTTTAAATAGATAGCAACTTGGCTGGTCTTCGAAGGCTGGTCGTGGTAGGAGGGGGCTTAAGTATGAGGCTTTGGGCCCAAGTTCCATCTGCTCTTTGGATCTGTTGCAATGCATTTGATATTGCTGCATGTTTTAGTTTGATACTATTATTTTATAGTATACATAAAACAGACCTCCTCGAGTTATATGTTTGGAGAAAATAAAGCTCTTTTATTTCTTTTTATCTGACTATATTGTTTGACAAATGCATTTTTTGTAGAAGGGTGACAAACAGCAATTTTTTTTTTTTTTTTTTTAAATTGTATAAACTGACTGCTGCATACTCTATCCCACAATTGTTAGCATGATGCAACTGCATGTGTATTCTCCCTTAGACTCCATGTTTACTAATGGCAATGTAATGGTGTATTTATGTAATGCATACATGTGCTTGCTATTGGCTGTCAAATGGTAGAGATATAGTATTTCTATAAACTAACACTGTCTTGCACTTGAGAAGAAGCAAAAACCCCAGATTATTCAGGACATTTTAGCAGATGTTCTGGATGCTGTAGTATGTCTGCAAATTGTATACATTAAAATGTTATGCAGGGCCAGCACTTGTTTTAAAACCTTGATCTTGATCAGTTTTCAATAATATTAATGTGTGAACGTTTTAAGTTGTTGGATCAAGATAGATGTATTTTACTCCAAACAGAAGTTTATGTCCTTTTTATAAAAGAATGTTCATAAGGTGTGTTTGTATTCTCGCAATCAATGATTTATGGGTGTAACAGTCTAAAGAGCAATGATCACATTGAGTGTATCCATGACAACTACTAGAGAAAGCTCTTCATAAATATATAACAAATACTATTATACTGCCAGTAGCCTTTGTTTAAACAAATACAACTCTGGAGTAGCATTATACTGCCAACTAGGAATATTTGTAGTACTCTATTTCTCGCAAATGCAGGTTCTTTGTAAAATGTAATTATCCAGGTGTGTGACCATCAAATAATTAGAGGCAATGCATGTGTCCACAGGGTCAAGATGAAATTGCCACTCATTGTGAAATACAACCGCTCTAATAAAGCAGCCTGTTACAACAAAAAAAAAAAGGTGTGAGGGGAAAAAAATTAAAGGGACACTATATAGTCACCAGAACAACTATAGCTTATTGAATTTATTCTGGTGAGTAGAATCATTACCTTCAGGATTTTTGCTGTAAACACTATCTTTTCAGAAAATGCAGTGTTTACATTACAGCCTAGTGATAACTTCACTGGCCACTCCTCAGATGTCTGTTAGAGATCCTTCCTGGGTCATGGCTGCCTAAAATGCATCCAAACATTCAGTGTCTGCTCCATCTGCATGCAGACACTGAATCTTCCTCATAGAGATTCATTGATTCAATTCATCTCTATGAGGAGATGCTGATTGGCCAGGGCTGTGTTTGAATTGTGCTGGCTCTGCCCCTGATCTGCCTCTTTGTCAGTCTCAGCCAATCCTATGTTGAAACATTGTGATTGGATCAGGATACCACTTCTGCTAAAACAGGGACATGTAAGCAGCTGCAGACTTGAATACAAGTAAGATGTTTCCTATATTTAGGGAGGCATGAGTGGACCAGGGGGGCTAGATGGTGGTTTTAACCCTATAGGGTCAGGAATACATGTTTGTGTTCCTGTCCCTATTGTGCTCCTTTAATATCTATCTAGCATTTGTGAATTCAGAACCGACACGTTTGTGGTGTGCTTTTTATTTTTTGTTTTGCTTTCACACGTGTGACTAGGGATTTTGTGTTGTTGTTGTTGTACAGGCAGAAATAGTGTAAAAGGTTTTGGCATCATATAACTTCCTATTTTCACTTGGTCTACTTTAATCACTTATGAATTTGGAATGAAACTTATCTTTGACATGGTTTGCATTTTCAACTCAAGCTGTTTAGAGCGAGATTATGCATGAGTATTACTTTAGATTTAGATGGCTTCATAAGACCAAAGAAGTATTTCGGTTCATCTCTACAGAATTGTATGACATATGCTGTTTAAAGGAACACTATAGTCACCTAAATTACTTTAGCTAAATAAAGCAGTTTTAGTGTATAGATCATTCCCCTGCAATTTCACTGCTCAATTCACTGTCATTTATGAGTTAAATCACTTTGTTTCTGTTTATGCAGCCCTAGCCACACCTCCCCTGGCTATGATTGACAGAGCCTGCATGAAAAAAAAACTGGTTTCACTTTCAAACAGATGTAATTTACCTTAATTGTATCTCAATCTCTAAATTGAACTTTAATCACATACAGGAGGCTCTTGCAGGGTCTAGCAAGCTATTAACATAGCAGGGGATAAGAAAATCTTAATTAAACAGAACTTGCAATAAAGAAAGCCTAAATAGGGCCCTCTTTACAGGAAGTGTTTATGGAAGGCTGTGCAAGTCACATGCAGGGAGGTGTGACTAGGGTTCATAAACAAAGGGATTTAACTCCTAAATGGCAGAGGATTGAGCAGTGAGGCTGCAGGGGTATGTTCTATACACCAAAACTGCTTCATTAAGCTAAAGTTGTTCAGGTGACTATAGTGTCACTTTAAGTGATTGGAATTGGTCGACAAAAGCAAAAAGACAAGATTGTCAAACTGTTTAGTGATAGGGTGTGTGTGTGTGTGTGTGTGTGTGGCTCATCTGTGTTAATACTAGAACTTTTTATCCAGAAAGGTATACAACTAGGCACTAGTCTAGAGCATATAAGCCAAGTGGATAAACTGGCTCTACCCTTGTGGGATATCTCTGCGCCCCTGTAGTTCCAGTGGGCCCTGGATCTAGATCAGATCTTTGATGGCGAAGGAGTGCAGGCAGCATATTATATCCCTGGGGGTCCCTTACGTGGGCCGGGGACGGAGTGCTCTATGTGCCCTGTCATATTTAATAAGTGCTGGCGTGTTCTCCCTTAAGATGATGCGGAATAGGGAGGTGAGCATCTCCTCTATGTTTTCCCCCTCTGGGGATTCAGGTATCCCCCTTACCCTGATATTGTTGCGGCGGCTGCGGTTGTCCTGGTCCTCCAGCTGTCGCCTCATGGCCAGTATGAGAGTGCCTTGGCGTTTAAGGGCCGTGTCTGTGGCTGCAGAGTGGTCTTCAGTGGTCTGTGCCCTCTGTTCTACTTGCTGTATGCGGTGTTCCTGTGCTTTAATTTCAGCTTTCAGGCCGGTCACTTCAGCTTTAATTACCTCGTGTAGGTTGTTTGTTAGGTGAGTGAGGTCATCCTTTGTGACCATCATCATTGCCATGTGTTTTAATTCTGCTCCGATATCTGCCAGTGTAGTGGTGTCGGCAGTGGAGCATGTGGATGCTGGCGAGGTCGGCGCCATTTTGGATGTCGGGGAGCTGGGGTCCGGGCCGCACGGCGCATGGAGATATTCGTCCATCGGCCCCGTTTGCGACCCTAAAGAGGAAGGTTTGGGGGTCTGGGGTAGGTCACCTCTCTTTGTGCGACCCATTGGTGGCAGTGCGTGCGGGTTAGCAGTGGGTTGCTCCGTTCTGTGTGCTGTCGTGGAACGGAGTTCAGCGCTTAGGCGGCCATGTTCGTCGGAGCCCAGGCCACGCCCCCACCGGCTCTACCCTTGTGAGTGTTCGGATTTATACGTGTCTATATCTGTTTTCATTGGTAGACTAGCACTATTGTGTCTATTGTGGGGAAGAGTCGTCCAATTTTATTAAACGAAAACCTTCATTAAAGGGACTGATTGTTTTCCTGTCACTGCAGGTCCCCTCTCCCTCCCACCTCCCATCCCCGGTTGCTAAAGGGGTGGAAACCCCTTCAGTCACTTACCAAAGGCAGTGACGATGTCCCTCGTCACTGCTTCTTCTTCCCCGCCGGCTGGGGAGACCTAATGCGCAATGCCGCGCACGCGCATTAGACCTATCCATAGGGAAGCATTGAAAATGCTTTTCAATGATTTCCTATGGGGAGTTTAGCGACACTGGAGGTCCTCAAACAGAGTGATGACGTCCAGCAAAGCTCTAGCACCGAAAACCTGTGCTAGAAACCAGGAAGTGCTCTCTAGTGGCTGTCTAGCAGACAGCAACTAGAGGAGGAGTTAACCCTGCAATGAAAACTGCAATATTTACAGCTGCAGAGTTAAGGATAGTGGGAGTTGGCACCCAGACCACTCCAATGGGCAGAAGTGGTCTGGGTGCCTGGAGTGTCCCTTTAAAGTCTTCTGAGACTTTATGTAAATTCTGAAATTCTTGCTAGTTATCTCATCTAAAGACAAGCAAATACTGAGAATGCAATTCTCAAATAAGAGCAATATGCAATTCTAACTCTATGGGTGCTGCAGGGAAAAAGGTTTCAGTTTAGTTTGGTTATGGCCTGGCTCTATCTTGTTGGTATACAGAAGTTGTTGTTTCTATCCTCCTGTTAGGCCCTAATTGACAGGTAAGAGGTTAAATTTGTTTGAAAAATCAAGTTATCTTTATAACCTTTTTCTAAATGCTTGTTGTACTTATTTATAAAGCGCAACAAATTCCATAATTCTATTAATGTTCTCCCCATCACAGCATAATGTTTGCCTGTAGTCGGAGTCTGGACAGTAAACAGCTTTTTCTTTGTCTCTCTAAAATGGTGAAACCAACATCCAGCATTTGGAAACATTTCCACATTCCTTTTTATTTGCTGAGAACAAAGCTGCAATTTGTAAATATTGTGACATGAAATATTCTTTTGCAAATGCTGCAAGGATGACAAAATACATTCTTGCAACTCAGAAGTGTCTTAAGACATTAAAAAATAGTTTATAGAACTAAATGAGTAGGGCCATAGCAATGAAAGTGCAAGTACGGTAGCTTTTCCCTCCAAAGTTCCCATTCTGGAAACGCACTTTTCTGCTCCTTCGGTAACAACTCTATCACCACATACTGTTTCTTAAAGTAAGGAAGTGTTGCAAACTACTGCCTCCCAAAAATACAGTACCTTCATTTATAGATCGACATGGCACCTGAAAATAAGGAGAAAATCCATCAAGCTCCTGCAACAGCAATATATTCTTCTGGATCGGCATAGTCAATAACCGAAAATGCATATTGGCAGGAAGTGTTTAAATTATTAGACCATCATACCATTTAACTTCTCCACTCTGCATATTTTTCAAAATTTCCTGACTCTCCATTTTTTTTCTCCATGGCTTTAAATGTCCAGACATTTTACAGCTCTAGATAGCAGACTGAACCTGCTCAGTTAGAAAAACCAGGCTAGTGTGTATGCAATGCATGTACTTGTAAAGAAAGCCTGTGTGAATACACTCCCATTGTATCTATTCTGAAGCCTTAAGTCAGTTTTGAACGTAGTCCACATCCTATCCTTGGCTAAGGCATTAAACACTTTGCATTCATCTGGCTCAGGTGCAGTAATAGGTACAGGACAAAACCATTTGCTACACTATTCTGCCAGAGGCAAGGATATTATGAGTCAGCGAGGGAAAACATTGTTCCTGGATGTACAAAACAAGACTTAAGACCAAATTGCCAGTTGTTAGGACTATCAGTAGGAAGAAGTGGATACATGGATTGGGAATGGATCTGGAGCGGGTCTAACATTTAGCAGGTTCAGCACATTAAGAAAATGATAGAAGATAGGATGTTAAAAGCCTCCCTCAAATAACAAATGTACCAACCTGATATTAACCACTTCTGAGTATGTAAATGCAGATTAAGTAAAAAATGTTTTATTGTGTAATAGAGAAGTTAGAAACCAAAGTATGGCAAATGAAGGGTTTAATATTGAAAGCACTGTCAAAGAAAACCAGGATCCTAGGTCACGTAAACAGGCCACAATCTGGACAGTGAAATGATTTAGGAGAAATAACTGGATCGAATTGATAAATCTCGGACCAGATATGGTTAAAGGACCACTATAGCCACATTGGATCATCTATCAGAAGCCTGTGAGTCTTAGGGTCCTGGGCAGCATATTAGCTGTACTATTTTAGACCGAGATCTCAAATGTCTCACCTGGAATCTGCTGAAGCCACTTTCTCAACTTGAGGTTTACACCCCCCGAGTATTCATATCGCAACTGAGACTACTGCTGCCTTCACTTCTGAATCCTTTGTAGCTACTGTTTTAACCCTTGGTATTTTTCTACTTTCTCATGTTTCTTTTTTTTTTTTTATAAATCTTTATTTTTCGTCCGTGAAAATGGCAAACATATGTGTAAGGCCACAATAGTCTTTACACATCAAAACAGTGAATATCATGTAAATAAATGTCTAGGATCGTTTCACAAACATTTTATAGATACAATTGGTCTCAATGTTATAACGAGTGATGTAAGTCGGGTAATCGTGATGATAGAGGGTACCTATCTGTCAATATCGCCCCTTGTATTGTAGGGTCGTGAGCTGCGGGAACAGGGTGGGAATGACTAAATCTGGGTATTGTGTCTAACGTCTCGCCCTTTGTCCCGAGGATGTGGGTTTATGAGTCGTAGGGTGTCCCTTCAGTCTAGTGGTGGCTGCGTGTAGTCGCTAAAACAGTTCATAGCTATGGCTAGTGTGTCCAGACGATTATAGGTCGCTGTAATATGGCAGGATCAGGTCGGACCCGTGTGGTTCCAGGCTATGGTTATCAACCTAGTGGATGTGCCTGATGCCAGTCCGGTTTATTATATCGCCCTCGATATCGGTTCCCTATAACCCCAGGGAGAGGGGGGGGGGGAGGTGTCGTCGGAGCATAAATGGTTGGATCTAGTGAGCCTCGGTCGTGCTGCAATAATTGTCAGAACGAGAAAAAACAGAGAACTATATATAGTTTAAGAGTCAGGGTTAGCTACACAGAACATTTGAACTGAATGTGCGAACTGAAGCCTAGTCGGCTGTCGGCTTAAGTATGTCCCTCAGGTCTTGGGTTTGGCATCTCTGCCTCTTCCAGGAGTCACGGCTGTTTCAGCTTCGGAAGTTCCAGGCTGAGGGTCTAGTGGTGTCCCCAAGTTTTCTGTGGGATTCGGTAGTCCCAGGGCAGTCATCAGTGCTGGGCCTTCTGTGGGTTCGGTGGCCTTGAAGTGCTTGTCGCCTTTAGTGATCCAGAGAGTTCCTGGGGTCGCCCACCTATAGGTTATCCCAGCCGTTTGGAGTTGCTTGGTGATTGGGTGCATGCTCTTGCGCCATTGTAGTGTGGCTCTGCTCAGGTCCTGAAAGAAGGAGATTTTGCATGTTTCGAAGTCGAGTGGGGTCAGCCCTTGTATTGCTGCCATTAGCCCCAATTTGTCCGCCATTGAGCGGCATCTTAAGATTACATCTCGTGGAGCTGAGGTGGGTGCTTGTGGGGATTTAGCTATACGATAGATCCCGTCGAATTGGAATGCTTTTGCCTGTTTGGCTGGTAAAAGTGTGGCCACAAGGCGTCTAGCGAAATGCGGTAATTCGTCCAGTGGCATTGATTCCGACACCCCTCGAATTTTAATATTTTTGCGGCGCCCTCTGTCATCCAAGAGATTAACTTGCCTAGCCATTGTCAGTTGTGAGGCGTGCAAGTTGCGCACTTTCTCCCCTAGAGCTAGGTAATTCTCCCTCAGTCCCTTGACCTCTTCTTCGATTGCTTGCGTGCGCGTTGACACCGTGTGTACGTCTAGCTTGAGTATGGCTAGATCTGCTTCCCACATTTGTCTGAGATTCTGCTGTAGGCCTGTTAGCATTGCCTGTATGTCATTTTTGGAGGCCGGTGCGCTAGTGTCCGATGTCCCTGTGGGTGTCGGGTGTTGGGGACTGGGGTGTGGATTGTCCTGTGTGTCTCCTTCCTCTGAAGGTTGTGGGGATGTGTCTCGAGGAGTTTGGGCCTTCATGGCGTTTGAGGCCTGTAGCATTTGGCCTATATCGCGCTGGGGCTTTGCGGTATTTTGGGGCGTTTTTTGCGTCTTGCGGCCCATCTCACCTGCGCTCAGTGTGTCGGGGTACCAGTCCTCAAAGTCTGGGACGTTCCAGGGCCAGTGCGTTCCCGAAAGGGCCTGAGGTTGCCCTCCCGATCTGTAGGCCTTGCTGCCGCGGCGTTTATTTTTGGAGCCGGGTGTCAGGAGGAACGGCATCAGCGTGTCTGTGTGTCTCCGAGGTCAGTACTCGGTTGGGAGTCTGTATGTGATGCGGGTTTTCCCCGATTTCTGCAGATTTCAGTGGATTGTACCGGAGCTCCGGCAATGTGCGACCGCTCCGGTCTGTGTCAGGCTCCGCCCCCCCTCATGTTTCTTCTTGATGTTCTGGTCACTTGTCATTACCACATTCACCACTAAAGTTTCCTGTTTATTGTCTATTATGGTGTCTGGTAGATCGGCCAGTGCTTGCTTGTATGTCATTCTCAACTACTCCTTTTGATACCACCTATAGGAGTTTAGGCAGGTCCAGCCTTATTTTGGTCCACAATCCCAGCAACTTCCACACCTACTATCTGCTGATGGTACATCCCAAGGGGATGTTTGTCTTGCCATGAAGCATCCTCCTTGTCTGCATCATCTTTGAGAGAACTTTTCATGATGTCTGTTTCAATCAGGACTTTGGCCTGACTCTCATTAGGCCCCAACTTAATTTCTTCCAGCTGTGGTACAAGTGATAAATTGTGGGTAGAATTCTCCCTTTATTTTGAGTAGTTTCTAGGTCTTCACTTGGCCAAGTAATTTTTGCAGCTGAAAACATGATGGACTCTCTAGAGGTACTTGGATGTTGCTGTATTCCTTGACTCTTCCTCGGGATTCCCATTTATTTTTGTATTTTTAAATAAAATACAATCTTTTTGTTCTACTAAGACTTCCAAGTAGGCAGACTTTTCATCAGTCTGTGTGCGATCCAATTGTACCTCCTACAGGAGGTTGCTAGACCTCCACTGATGTGAAGTCCTAAAGTAAACACTCTGCTGAATGTGACCTCGAATGTAAGAAATGGATCTATCTTTTCATGAACTGTGAAGGGAGTTTGTGTCATTGACTGCCAGAGAAGGTAGCGGCAGTAGAAGTAGTCAAAGGGCAGAGAATTGAGCATCAAAACCATGTCTGCTGTAGTGGTTTTGGTGCTCAGATAATTATGTAATTATAAAGACCCAAAAGTAACCTCTGCATTGCTCTGGCAATATTACTATTAAATGTTAAAGTTATGTTTAAATTTTTTTGTATATATGTAAATACAGATGCTATGTTGAAGGATAAAGAATAATTTTGTGCTATGTATGCTATGCTGTCTGGTAGCATATGGGCCTAAACGCCATTAGGGCAGCATAGTATGCTGCAGCATTTAAGCCCTCCCATGTGTAGCCATTCTCTCCCAAGCTGCAGGTCGCGGTGCGGGGGCCTACCTGGCCACTGTGGGGACTACCTGGGTTGCAATCTGCAGCATGTGATTGCATGACAGCCTGTCACTGTGATCACTGTTACAATGTGTCAGCCAATTATTTGAAGCATTGTCTCTGCTCACTTTGATCTAAGTCAAGAGAGGCAGAGAGATCAGTGTGTGAGAACGTTTTTTTTTTATTTTTGTTAACCCTTTCAGTGCTGATCACAGCATTAACCCTGTGATCAGCTTGATTAGGATATTTAGTACTTTGACCCTAAAGAAAACCAATTAATAATAGTACCAAACAAAATATTTTTGACCCTTTGTGAGCTACAGCAATATTTATTTGTTTTAACCCCTTCCCTACTTCCAGATCGCTGTACACTACCATATCAGTGACACTGTATCAGAGGACTCTCTGATCAGACTGACATTTTATTTTTGGTTATTTTTTTTTGTCTATGCTGTCAAAACAGTAATAGTGTGTATGTATGTGTGTGTGTGTGTGTGTGTGTGTATGTATATGTATGTATGTGTGTGTGTATATATATATATATATATATATATATATATATATATATATATATATATATATATATATATATATATATATATATATATATATTATGGTATGCAATAAAGTAAATTACCTCCATAGTTTTTGACTAACTCATTTCAGGAATTTGAAATGTCCTCTGAAAATGAATAAAATAAAAGTATAACCGCTACATGAGCACTGTATTTCTGATAAAGTGGCTAGACCGAACATCTCAAAATACACCATTTGGAATACGCTGGGTTGCCTAATTTTGAAAATGGTATGCCATAATGTTGGAAATCGTATTAACCAGGTTACCATACTCTCTTAAAGGAGACATATGCCCAGAAAATCATCAATGTACTCGTGAGACATTGCTGAACACAAATCTGTGTGTTTTATATTGCAGTAAAAGCTAAAAATGTTATGACATTCAAAGTTAACATGCCACACAGAACTTAGAAAATAACAATTTCTTTATATAAATTTTATTTATATAAAATGATGTTTTATATATAAAGATTTGATGTGAAATGAAAGACCAGTTTCACAATTGTATATGTGTGTGTATGTTTAATATAAAAGAGGTAAATTACAGACATATAGTTCAAATTCTAGGGTTTGGTTACATTTTGTTTTGATCAAAACATGTACAATTGCCTCAGTTTGTAAGGGGTTAAATGAATACTCCAGTGTTATAAATATTTATTTCTAACGTGTTTATAATTCTGGAGTGTCTTGAAATTTACTGCTACCCTCCCATACTTGCTAACTGACCAGTTTTGTCCCAGGACATGACCCACATAGCTGGCAACCACAGGAGCTGACAGTGTGGGTGCTGTGCCAGAGGTAAGTGAAATTAAATACACCCTCTTTGAATTCTATGGTCTTACATATCAGGACATAACAATCATCTGTTCCTTAGCAGGTCTTAAAATTAGGTAAATAAAATCTGATTAAAAACACATGACATACTGTGCATGATTTTATTTAACAAAATTTAAAGGCAAAATTGGAAAGCCATGTGTGAAAAACTAAGTTCCTTTTCCCTTACTACTTCTATAGGAATAAAGAAGCTAAGTAGCAGACATGGGCTGCTAATCAAATGCTCTTGATTAATTGATCATCAGCAATTGTGTCCATCTATGATGGTTTTTTATTTATTTTGCTCCCAGGATGGATGTTCCTTTAAGAAATTAACTACTATACTCCTATTTACTCTGAATCCTAGTGTTCAGAGCTCGATTAATAAGTCTGATCCTGGTGCTCATGTTCCTTTTCCTCCCTTGCGTTCTCTCTCCCACGTAGGAATTGAACTCTGCAACCTTCTGTGCCTCCGATATTTACCTTGTTACCGTTCCTCTGGCTTACTCTCTGCTGACCATCCGCATCTACAAACCCCTTACTTTAAGGTTTTTTTGTTGGCTGACTCAGATCGGATTACGACCCCCCCTCCAAGAAAACATCACGGACTTGCTTACAGGACTCCGGTTTATATCTCCACCCTTCCTTTCATCCACTCATCTCTCAGTATTTGACCTTTGGCTAATCTAATTAACCACTCTCCCTTTAAAAAAAAAAAAAAAGAGACTGATTTTTGAGAATCTGGACTGAACCTACGACCTTTCTTTACTGTTTAACTCTTTCTCTGCTGAGAGAAACGAAAGAGGTACCTTCAATATCCTCTTGTATTTATTGTTTTATAAGCAAATTGGTTCTCTATTTCAGTTATAACCTTTATATTGAAATTACAACTCTAAAGTTTGTTTTGTTTTCTGGAAGAAAATACTTGAGTGATTTTATTCTAAATAAATTAGTGACCATTCACTAAAAGGAAATTTTTTTTTCACACATTGCATGACATCACCTCATATTAAAGTCAAAGTTTTTGCAGTTTACTGGTCTGGAGCATTCAGGTGTGGGTGTAAACACAATGCCAAGGAAAAATGACATCAGCAATGATCTTAGAGAAGCAATTGTTATTGCCCATCAATCTGGGAAGAGCTATAAGGCCATTTCCAAACAATTTCAAGTACATCATTCGACAGTGAGAAAGATTATTCAAAAGTGGAAAACATTCAAGACCGTTGCCAATCTTCCCAGGAGTGGACGTCCCAGCAAATTCACCCCAAGGTCAGACCGTGCAATGCTCAGAGAAATTGCAAAAAACCCAAGAGTTACATCTCAGACTCTACAGGCCAAAGTTAGCATGTTAAATGTTAAAGTTCATGACAGTACAATTCGAAAAAGACTGAACAAGTATGCTTTGTTTGAAAGGGTTGCCAGGCAAAAGGCTCTTCTCTCTTTAAGGTACATGGCAGCACGGCTTAAATTTGCAAAGTTGTATCTGCAGAAAAACCACACGACTTCTAAAACAATGTCCTTTGGACAGATGAGACCAAAGTGGAGATGTTTGTCCATAATGCACAGCGCAACATTTGGCAAAAACCAAACACCGCATATCCTCACGAACACCTCATACCAACTGTCAAGCACGGTGGTGGAGGGGTGATGCTTTGGGCTTGTTTTGCAGCCACAGGACCTGGGAACATTGCGGTCATTAAATCGGCCATGAACTCCTCTGTATACAAAGTAATCTAAAGTCAAATTTGAGGGCCTCTGTCCGACTTAAAGTTTGGCTGAAAATGGGTCATGCAATCCCAAGCACACCAGCAAATCTACAACAGAATGGCTGAAAAAGAAAAGAACCAAGGTATTACAATGGCACAGTCAAAGGCCAGACCCTTAATAGAGCTGTGCATAAACAAATACCAACAAAACTCCATGAACTGAAGCAACGTTTTAAAGAAGAGTGGGTAAAATTCCTCCACAGCGTTATGAGAGACTGATAGTCATACAGAAAGCGATTACTTCAAGTTATAGGTGCTAAAGAGGGTTTTACAAGCTATTGAATCATAAGGTGTACTTGGGTTTTCACACATGGCATCTCCATTTTGGCTTTATTTTTGTTAAATGAATCATGATACGTGTTATGTCATGTGTTGTTTATCTGAGGTTGTCTTTACCTAACATAGAGACCTGCTAAGGAACAGATTATGTAATAAGTAAAACCATAGAATTCGAAGAGGGTGACCATTCTTTTTCCCATGACTATATGCATAAAGCCATTGCTATAGAGCCCAGTCCAAGTCCACATCAGTCAAATAAATGTTGAACTGGTTCTAGTATGCCTAAAATATGCTCGTGGAAAAATTTGCCGTAGATCACCCATAGTCCTTCATAAATCTTGCCTCTCACCCTCGGGCTGTTTTGTAATAGTGAGTGTATATGTTTAACAATGTTTCCATGTATCTACATGTAAAAGAGTGTGCGGGTCAGTGAGTGGTTTGAAAAAAACAAGAGCAGTTAGCAATATATAGTTATGCTACCTAATCAACATTTGAAATGTTTGTTACCTTACCGAACATTGAAGTAATGAAGCTGAAATATTGACTGCATACTCTAGCAAAAGGGCATAAAATAAAGCAGTTGTATGGTTTATTTGAAGTCATTGAAGTGCACTTATTCACATACGAATGTTCAATCTTGCCTTTTTTGTTTAATTAAACAACTGTATATCTGTGCAGTGACAGATGCATTATACTGGTTGTATAACACCACTTTCCATGGCTGCTTTTTGTCAGTCTGGCCGTGATGGGAGACTGGAGCGGTACACAGGTGCTATAACATTCTACTGAGGTTGGGCTGACCAAATGAATTTGGGGAGGCTGAAAAAAGAAAAGAGAACTTAAACAAGGCCACCTTTCTGTCAGAAAAATTGATGTGAAGATTGATAAATTCATTATGACAATTAAAGAATGGTGTATGTTCAAAATGACTGTTAGGGCACAAAAGTAGCAGAGGAAAAAAAAAATTGACCTAATTAATAAAGTGTGCCAAATATTTACCGAAAAGTAACCATAAAAGTATTGTTAACACTCTGATAAATCTCCCCCAAAGTGTCCCTGCAAGACAAACACAGAGACCTGCACTTTGATAGGAGACAGGAGGGGGAGTCTAGACCAGCGGCATCCCACTCCCATCAGCCACAGCCTGCTTAAGAAGCTACTAAGCATTCGCTGCACCAATCGGCACCTCGTTATAGAGATGCATTAAATCAAGTGGGCGTTTGAGTGATTGCCACTAGAGATGTTACTAGGCAGCAATGTAAATGCTGCCTTTTCACTGAAAAGACAGTGTTTACATTGAAAAGCCTGCAGGGACAGGCAATAGACACCAGAACCACTACATTAAGCTGTATTGGTTCTGGTGACTATAGTGTTACTTTAAGAATTTTTGTGTGTGGGGGAAAAAAAAAAAGATTATGAACGGTGTGGTGGACCCACAAAATGTCAATGGCACTATAATCACTACAGCGCAGCATATAGTATCTCATCAGCATAACTAGTAATGTTAAAACAAATGATACACTTACCTGTGATCTCTTGAGATGTACCATACTGATAGATATAGATAGATATATATATTTAATATACCATTTTGTGGAACCTACACACACACGGGGAGCCGTTGGATCTGAGAGTTTTGGAGAAAGCGGGAGGCGGGAGCTGGGGGGTTATTTGCCCCTGGACCCAGTAAAAAGAATCCCGAACCTCACCCCCTGGCAAGCAGAAACGGGGGGGGAAGGAAAGTTCTCTGGAGGTAACAGGTTTTCCAGAGTACCCTGTACTGTGGTAGATAGCTTTCACATAGGGAACAACACTAGTACTTCTTTATTACCCTATCCTCTCCTTTCCCTCCTCCTTTTCGATATATTATCTACGTCTTTGTTCTTTTGTTTCTTGGTTGGGCCAGCACATTTAGTTCCACCCACTACGACCCAAGGCGGGGAATGCACCTACTAGTAGGAATCGACCGATATTGTTTGTTATTGTTTTTGTTTTTTAGAGCCGATCCCGATAATCTGTGAACTTTCAGGCCGATAACTTGCCAATATTCTGTACATTTCCCATTTAAAAAAAAAAACTCTAAAGGTAAATGCACAAAATATACATGCCACATGTAGTGGATGCAGTTTGTTTAGACGGGGAGCTGTGTATGTTTGTGTAGTGTGTATATAATGGATGCAGAGAGTTTGTGTAGTGTGTGTGTGTGTGTGTGTTTGTGTAGGGATGTAATATGTGTAAATATTTAAATTATTTATTTATTTTAGTCCCATCAGGATTACAGTATGATCCATGACAGGGCACTGAGCAGGATGAGAACTGGGCCTAAATACCCCTCCTCTGGATCTGATGGGCTGTAATTGGCCTTTGACCCCAAAGGCAGTTACCAGTTTTCCATTTGCATAATTGCTGCTCAGCACAAACCCTCCTGTTGATTTGATTGCTGCTCGGCACAACTTTTCCTGTCAGGACAGTAATGTTGTTCAGCACAACTTTTCCTGTCTAAACATTAAATTCCATTAATCACATTTTTATAAGCGGATGGATACGTGACACCCACTCCCTGCTTCTTACCAGGGAGAGGGGATATAGTATTCCCTGGTGGTCCGGTGGCATGGAAAGTACAGTGGAGGCCCAGCAGCAAGTGCTTACTTACCTTTCCTTCAGCTCCCTGTCTAAATCTCGCGGCCTGCGTGCCGTGTGGAGCGTTGCCATGGTAACCCGTGGCAATGCTCTGACGGCCGCGAGATTTAGACAGGGAGCTGCTGGAAAGGTAAGGAAGCACTTGCTGCGGGCCCGGAGGTCCTGGTATGTATTATCGGCAATATATGTATCTTTATTGACCGATACCGATATTGCCTACCTGCTAGTATTGTTCTTATTTTACATATATACTTGTCAGCAGCAAGAGGGTAGGACGGGGCTGGTTAAATTGTTACAACCACGGTTATGCTATATTTATATATGTTTATAAAAACTTTGTCAGATTTGCAACTGCTACTATCACTTATCAGAGACAATGAGGTGATGTTACGGCTTTCGATGGACTTACACGCATCACAGTTTATTGGACAGTAGGATGCTATGGCCTTGTATGACCTGCTATGTACTGTTTGTCTCGAGTTGTATGCGACAACAATTTAAAATAAAGAATTTAATAAAACAAATGATAAATTTATGGAAGAAACATATATTGTTTACTCCTGAATCAAAATGTGAAGACAGTCAGCTGGAGGGAAATAAGATTGTAACAGCAGAATTATTTTATTTTTTCATTTGAACAATGTTTGTTGCTCAGTGTCTTTAAAGGACCACTATAGTGCCAGGAAAACATGCTCCTCCTCTTCTCCCCGTGGGCTGAATGCGCACGCGCGGCAAGAGCTGCGCACCCATTCAGCCGGTTGTATAGGAAAGCATTCACAATGCTTTCCTATGGACGCTGGCGTGCTCTCACTGTGAAAATCACAGTGAGAAGCACGCAAGCGCCTCTAGCGGCTGTCAATGAGACAGCCGCTAGAGGAAATAGAGGAAGGCTTAACCCATTCATAAACATAGCAGTTCTCTGAAACTGCTATGTTTATGAAAAAATGGGTTAACCCTAGCTGGACCTGGCACCCAGACCACTTCATTAAGCTGAAGTGGTCTGGGTGCCTAGAGTGGTCCTTTAAGCAAAATTATGTGTTTTTAGAAGTACAGTTTGTCCAAAACTGGGAACGAATCTCCCTCCTTGCTATTACTAAATTACTGTTAAAACTTGTGCAGATTTTTGAGCAGAAACTAGATTGATTAGCTTCCTGTTCTAATTAGCTGTGGCATATTGGGCTGTAATAAAGATGGTAAGGCATTGAGGGGGGGGGGGGGACACTTTCCAGACATTCTTCCAAATTTGCTTAAATTAAAATGGCACAGCATCATTCAATATGTTTTGTGCAGTTTCATAGTGAAACATTGCACACACCGATTCCAAGCACCATGACTACTGCAAAACACTTTAAGGATTAAACATAACTCATTAAGGATTAGCAAAGCGTCACATTTTAGTCCCCAGTGTTGGTTGCAAATCAATATATCTGCCATTAGCTGGAGCCGGAAATCAGACAGTTGCTAAGCTTATCGGATAAGCAATTTATGCGCATAGCATAGTTTTGTGGGAGTTGTAGTCCATGTGCATTATTCTTTACAAAGAAAACAAAACAAGTGCAGTTCTTGGAAAGCTACCTCATATTATGTATATCATCAGTATTTTTGCAACAAAAATTGAAATTCTTCAGGTTGAAAGGATATAATTCCGGAGCAAAGAACCTAAACGTACTTAAAAATCCTATCTAGCTCAGCTAACGGTAATCTTATGTCATAATTACACCTAATGTGTCGATGCATAGAGTGCACCTTTTGAAGACCAGAATAATTTGAACGTTTTTAAAGGAACTCTCTACTCAGTTTAACAACTACTTGCCCTGCCCTCCAAATATTTCAATAGATAAAAGGCTTGCAAACATGGCTTCAAGCCACACATCCAAGGCCTCTGGATAGCAGAGCTTTAGGACTGTTACTTTCTGTATCGCATACCGTGAGATTACGTGCGAATATGCAATCAGTGTTTCTGTTGACAAAAGAATCATTGGCTTATCAAGGCAAGCATTGGTATATAGTAGTTCTCTAACCTCCTAAAAATGGTTTGACGAACTTGAGTCTTGCATTGTGCTCGATGCCACATCCTTTATATCTGGTCTTCTCCTGACCAGAATCTGGATTTATGAAGCAAAGAAAGGTCATGCTGGATTTACTTCATTGGCTGAAAGTGTTATCTAAGTGCTCTCAGCCAATAAGTGTGGTCCTGAATTGCCCACTGTCTTTTCAATAGATGCATTCAGCGACTCATGCTAGAGAAGATCAGAGGTGTGTTGCAATTGCGAAGCGGAACCAGGTAGCTTTCAAACCATTTTAAAAAGGTTTGAGTACTTACCATGAGACGGTAGCAGGACAATCCTGGCACCATAACGACTACACCTGATTGGAGTTTTCCTTTTAAAGCCACATTTATTTTTAATATCTGGTTCTCACATTATAATGGAAATAAGTCACATAATGCAACACTTTTGTCAGTCATAATGAGAAACAAACCCATGCATAAAACTTGCAATATGAGAGATTTATTTTAAATAAACATAAAGCAAACAACAATGAAATACATTTGCATATTTAACTCGAAGGTCAGAATAAAAATGTGAACTGCTTATACTGTGGTGGATTGAGTGTTGAGCTGCAATGCACAAGAATAAACTAACAAGATACAGGACTCCAACTTGGAAAATTATTACAAACCCACACAGGCCTTGGTACTAGTGTGCAATACATCCTTATCCAATTTCCATTCTGCATCCCAAGTTATTTGAAACTTGTAGCTTAAAGGGAAACTATATAGTGCCAGGAAAGCAGTTGTTTTCCTGGCACTATAGCTCTCTATAGTGCCCCCCACATGAGTCAGAAGGGTATAAAAAGGCCTTCTGCAACTTACCTGAGTCCAGTGTCTATGTCCCTCGGCGCTGGTTCGTGCTCTGCCTGCGATCCTCCCCTGCCAATATCAGGCGACAGGGGAGTGTCTGCACTTGCATTAGTATTTCTACCATAGGAAAGCATGTATAATTCCTATGGGGCTTTAGAAGACGCTGGATGTCCTCATGCATAGTGTGAGGGCATGCAGTATCAGGTGACCAAAAGTCTGGTAGACTGCCACTAGAAGTTGGGTTAACCCTCAAAGGTAATTATTGCAGTTTATTAAATACTGCAATAGTTACCTTTGCAGGGTTAAGTGACCTAGGGCTATGCATCTAGGTCACTTCAATGAGCTTAAGTGGTCTAGGTGCCTATAGTTTCCCTTTTTAATGTAGCCTGCTGTAGCTCTGCATGTAGATTCCATGAGGTCTCCCAAGAACAGCTGCTGCCAATTTTGAGAGACTTTTGGAGTTGGAGCCCAGGCCCAACTCCAAATTTCCACAGACTCAGGCTGGAGCATCTCAGATGCAGATATGTGTTAATGCAAAGTTTCAGCAGATTAAACTGTTTTGCAGCAGTCCCCACAGTAGCGTCATTTTCAGTTACATAGGTGTTTTCTTATGGTGATCCTGTATAGTAGACTATTCTTCGCTTACTTGCTCCTATATGTGACAAGAATTCTGCAAGGAAGGGGTCCAACCTGGACAGTAAAGTCTTAAA